GTTTCCAGCTTCTATTACCAACAAAGTTGCAACGAGTATCCTTTATGCAACGTGTATACACACTGGTGTTTCCTTGGGATAGAAACGAAGTGAGCAGGCATTTCCTGCTTCATAGTATCCGCCGTTGTGGGGTTTGTTTTATTTTACAAATGGCACAAACAGCGTTTCAAATTTGGCTGTTCCACACACATTCCCACCAGCTAGCTACACTATTAGGTTAAGTAAACATTTCTATTGCAGGGTAACATCCACTTAGAAAAATGCACACATAAAAAAAAAAAACTGCACAGATTGATGAATTTTTACCACGTGAACACATCAGGATCCAAGAAGAGGACAATCCCACCCCTGCCCCACCAGCGCCGTCCCCGTAGTGAGGACCCCTCCCTCGGGGCATTCACTGTCCTGACTTCTGACAGGACAAACGAACTCAGTCAGGTTTTGTACTTTACATAAACGGGATGGCACAACATGACCCTTTGTGTCTGTCTCCTTTCACTTAATACTATGTTCGTGACATACACCCAAGTTGTTGCTTGTGTCTGTAGATCGTTGATGCTTTGTCGCTATTTAGTATCCCCTGGGGTGATGATGCCACAGTTTTATGTGTCTGTTCTACTGCTGAGGGGCATTTGGTTGGTTTTCATTGGGGGGGCTATTACAGTAGTACGGCTGGGAACATTCGAGTCACATATTGTGCATGCTTTTCTTCCTAGGAGAGTAAGGGTTGAATTGTAGTGTATGTGCACGTTCAGCTTTAACAGAAAACTGCCAGTTTCCCAAAGAGATTGTACCAGTTGCCACTCTTAACAGCAGTGCATGAGAGTCCTGGGTCCTCCCCATCCTCATCAACACATTTCCCTTTTGGCCATTCTGGTGGCTGTGCTGTGGTGTCGCAATTCTGGTTTTGCATTTCCCCGATGATTAATTACAACACTGTTTTCTCTTTCATTTTTTTATGTTTCTTCCTTTTTGAGAGTGAGGGAGACAGAGTGCGAGCAGGGAAGGGGCCGAGAGAGAGGGAGACACAGAATCCGAAGCAGGCCCCAGGCTCTGAGCTGTCAGCACAGAGCCCGACGCGGGGCTCAAACCCACGAACCGCGAGATCGTGACCTGAGCTGAAACCAAGAGTCGGATGCTTAAAGACTGAGTCACCCAGGCCACCCCCCTTTAAAAAAAAAAAAAAAAGTTGATTGCAGCAGCTTTCTTCGTAAAAGCTCAGAACTAGAAACGGATCAAAAGCAAATACCCATCAGTAGCACAAGTATTATGGTATAGTTTCACAGTGGAATACTATACAGTAGGGAAAACGACAAATGCCTATAGATGTAGATGAAGCTTATCTTTGAGGGAGGTCATGACAAGGAGGGACCTTGAGGATCTTCCAGGAGCCAGAACATTCTATATCTTGAGGTGGGTGGTGGTTACATCAGTGTATACCTATGCAAAAACACAGCAAGTTATAAATTTAAGATTTGTACACATTACTGCTTGTAAGTTACACGGTGATAAGGAAGAAACAAAGTACCTGGCCTAGTGCTCAAAAAATAGGAAACTGAAATATTCCTATGCACACGACACATTCCTTGTCAGTATCAGTCACAGCTCTTGGTACATAGTAGGTGCTCAATATAGGCCCTTCTTTCTCTCCCCACCCCTTCCTATGTTGATTGCAGGATCTCTGTCTGTGACGAGGACAAATTTGGCCATAACGAGTTTATCGGTGAGACCAGATTCTCACTCAAGAAACTGAAGCCTAACCAGAGAAAGAACTTCAACATCTGCCTGGAGCGGGTGATCCCGGTGAGCGCCTTTGCCTCGAGGGTGCAATGGGGGAGAAGAGTTTGGGGGCTGGGGCCTTCCTCTGGGGCCTGCAAAGGGGGTGATAGATCTGCAGGGTGCCCGACAGTGGAGGTGGGAGGGGGATTTCAGGTCACAACATCGGGATGGCATCCTGGCTCTTCAACCCTGTACCAAAATCACTTCTCTGACGTCCGCGTCCTCCTCGGTGACATTGAGAAGGGCGGTGTGGTGCAGCAGTGTGGCCCGTCTGGGTTCAAAGCCTGGCTCCGCCATTTCCCTGGTCCCTGGCCTTGGCCAAGGGTCTGAACTATTCTGAGCCTCTGATTTTCTAGTCTACAACATGGGCATCCTAACAGGACTTTCGCCATAGGACGGTTGTGTGATACATACAATCAGAACAGAACCTAGGGTCTAATAGCCACTTGTAAATTAACTGTTGCTATTGTAGAAAATAATACTGCCTCACCCCCTTGTCGGTCACGAATTCATAAAGCACCACGCAGATCAGTGGGTGACAGGGTAGCATAGTGCTTAAGACATGGGCTCTGGAGCCAGAGTCAGGCTCTGGCACTTCTAGTATAATCTGAGCCAAATGATTTGACCTCTCTAGGCCTCAATTTTCTCATCTGTAAAATGGACTAATGTAGCAAGTACGAACTTCATAAGGTCTTTAAAGGCTTAATCTGAGACTACCTATAGAGCATTGGAGCTGTTACTGCTATGTGCTGCTTGCCTTTTGGGAAAAAACAGGAACCAAACCAAGGCGCTCCAATTGGAGATTGGAGAATAGCAATCTATACCTCGGAATCAACTGGGGATTTTTATTTTTTTCAATTGTTTCTGTAGTTCAGTGTACTTTAGTAGCAAACTTACAGGAACAGCACAGAGGACCGACGACATTAAAAAACAGGTAGGACTTGTAGGACAACTCAGAATGGTGAATGGAGGGAATCTACCGCGTGATTTAAAAAAAAAAAAAAAGCCACAAACACCGTTTAGCTGCCGTCGATAAGAAATTTCCTTGTTTAAAAAAAAAAAAAATCCAAATGCTGGCATTGTCCAGAAAAATGTAACTGGTTTATTTAAGATCGTTATAAAGTTGAAGCTGCTGAATCGTGTTCATTGAAACATGTTCACTTGCATTAACGCTTTAGGTCTCTGCATTTGTATTAAAAATTCACATACAAATGAAAATGGAGAAACTGTTAATACCTGATTTCTGTCCCCCGTTTTTTCCCTTGCAATCATATACTCAGGTAACTTTTGATTCCCATGGGAAAAAAAAAAAAAAGTACCTAACGTTCAGAGCCACCAATAACAGGAAGAAAAAAAAATTTCTGTAATGTTTAGATAGTTTTGAGAGAGAGAGAGCGCACACGAGTATGAGCAGGGGAGGGACAGAGAGAGAGACAAAGCAGAATCGGCACGGTCAACTCACCGACCTTGAGATCATGATCCAGAATCAAGAGTCAGGTGCTTAACCGACGGAGCCCACCGAGGCACCTCCAAATGCTATCTATCATAGTGGATTCTTAAGCACTTTCTCCGTGCGTGTGGTGCACTAGCTGGATGTCTTTTGCCACAATGTTGCACGTTTGGCATGGAGCGTCTTCAAAGAGGCCCGCAGGATAGGCCTCACTGCCTCCTGCAAAGTCTAATGGCTGCACTCCGGAAGCGCAGATCTGTTTTGCAGTCCTGAGCAATTTCTCGCGCCAGATGCCGGAAAGGAAGTTTGCGGATCAGAAGTTCAGTGGACTTCTGATAACGTCTAATTTCACCCAAGGCCACAGGGCCAGGCCTGTGACGATGAGGTTTCTTCACCCTCCAGTAGAGGGCGCACTCTTGCAAGCAGCTTTTGTAACCTGTGGCTTCCTTGAGGCTTCCCCCTCCCATTTTCGAGCAGTCTGCTTTGTATGCGCCCTGGCACGGAGACCTCCCTACCTACCTGCCTTCTCCTTCCGCTGGAGCACGGCTGGAGGCAGTGAGCGATACTGGCACAGCAGAGGCTGCAAACACAGTTCTCAACTGGAGATTTTTAACCCGGTTTTTCTTTTTTTTAATATGAAATGTATTGTCAAATTGTAAACCGGAGTTTAAACTACATGTTAAACCAGAGCTTAAACTATGATTCGTGGGGATCTCCCTGGAGATCCTGACTTAGTGAGGTAGGGTGGGACCCAGCACTCTGTATTTTTAAAGACAAAACAACCTGCCCATTTTACATATGGGCCACCTTGGGCCCACAGAGGGGAGCGAGCTGCCAAGGTTATGCCACAAGTCAGTGGCTGTGCTCTCACGCACCGGCCAGAGCCTAGCTCTCCTGCAGCCACCAGTGTGACTCTTCCCCCTGGGCAGTGGCCAGCTCCCCACAAGGACTCCGTGGGGGGGGCGGGAGGGGAAGTCCTACAGCATCCTCCCACCAGATGGCCAGCCCGAGGATGGAATATCCCTTGTGCCGCACCATGTTTCTATAGCATAGGCAGAAGAACAAGACAGAGCAAGGAAATTTGCAAGAAGCAATTTGCCCCAAAGGCCAGGCTCCAAATAAATCATTAAAGACCATCCGAAGAGTGAAGAGTTGGCTCTGGCTCTTTTCCTAGAAACAGCTGGTTCTTCAGGCCTCCTCCTCCATCCCTCACTCAGTGACTCCAGCCGGTCAGGACAGGGGCCGGGCCCTCACCTGGCTTATCTGCTCCCGAGTCTGCCCATCTTGCTGTGAGGGGTGCAGCCAGCCCCGGAGGCACAGAGGTGCCGGGGACAGGCAGGGGCCTGGAGCCGCCACAGGACATCTTTTGCTCTTTGTCCTTAACCTTCCCACCGCCAGCTACCCCCACGTGCCCCACGAAGAGCAGGGGCCTCGCAAGTGCTGTCCCTTCCCCCCACCCCCGCCCCGGACCTCAGTTTTCCTCATCTCCATAGTGGGGAGGTTGGATTTAGGCAGTGGTTTCCACATTGTGTGCCCCAGAGTCCTAGAATCCCACAAAAGGACCTTAGGAACCAAGGGGGGAGAAGTACCTGGTGGTTCAGACCCCAAGCCCCCTGTGTCAATTCTACCAAAGCAGATGAAATCTTACCTGTTTTATGAGTGGGGTGCCCTGCCATTTCTTCGCTATGTGACCTCGGGCAAGCGGCTTAACCACTCTGACCCTCAGTGTCCTCATCTGTCAAATGGGATAGGAATATACAACCTGCATCATAGGCTATTGTGCATTAACGTGGTCTGTCAAATGGTTAACATGACATAAATTTTATCTGAATGAAGGGGAGCTGGAGGACCACAGAAGTTTGGAGAACTCACCCTCGTGGCTCTGGCTGCTAATGGAAGGATGTGGGTTTCCGATCCTTCCCGTGTAAGGAGATGAGCCTCATAGACTCATGTTATCTTTCCTTTCTGTTTCTTTCCTCTAAGATGAAGCGTGCTGGAACCACCGGGTCAGCCCGAGGCATGGCCCTTTATGAGGAGGAGGTGAGCACTCAGTGGGTATTGAAGCCGCAGTCAGGATCTGCCAATTCTCTTTTCTCTCCCTCCCAGCCCCATCCTTATTCTTTCCCCCAAAACCACTTGCCCGTCGGTGTACCATGAGAGAGGTACCCCTTCCCATTAGAACATGAGACCAAATGGATGCTCCTCCCGTCTGGAGCCCCCAAGGCCAAGAAAGCCCACCCTCTCACACCCGGGGCACACCCTTGAGTTCCCCTGCCTTGTTGGCAGAAGCTCTGCTGGAAAATTCTGCAGGACTAAAGCAATGCCACTCTCCCTCCATGGGGACCTAGGACAGGCTGGCTGGGGCTGGGGTTGGGCTACATATCTGTGCCCTCTGCCCAGCTCCCTCATGGGGCCCCAGGGACTACAGTGTGAGAAAACTGTTTTACTCAGGCAAATCTGAGTTCAGAGTCAGACTGGAACCAGGGTCCAGCCCCACCTCCAATCACTCAGGGCTCTGTCCTTGTCTAAGTCAGAGTAAAGCCCCAGGCCCCCAGGTGCCTTCATTGCTAGCCCGACTTTCTGGTCCCTGGAGACTGGGGAGCATCTGCTGTCCATGGTGCTGACCGTGCTGGGGCGGGCCAGCGCCTCCTACTTTCCACAGGCTCCTCCCTCCTGCCAGTCATCCGTCCTGTTGCCTGGCCCCCTCCCCTTCCTAGACCCATGTGCCCTCTTCTTCTACAGCAGGTGGAACGAATTGGTGACATAGAGGAACGCGGCAAGATCCTGGTGTCCCTCATGTACAGCACACAACAGGGAGGCCTCATCGTGGGCATCATACGCTGCGTGCACCTGGCCGCCATGGATGCCAATGGCTACTCAGATCCATTTGTCAAGCTGTGAGTCATTGGGACTGTGAATGGACCCCAGACGGGGTCCTAGATCGTTGCAAAGGGAGAACCTAGAGAATTTCCCCAAGATCATTGAACGTTGAGGCTCAGAGAAGGGAATGAGCGTGCCCAGGGTCACACAATGAGGTGATGTCCAGAACTGGCTAGAGTGTGAGTCTGGGGTCTCAGACAGTCAGACCGTTGTGTCGCTCGCCCATACGAGGAGTTTTGTGACTCTGTCCTCTCCAGTGGGAGAGAGGCAGTCGGCAAGTTGCAGTAACCCCCTTTGGAGCCCCCTGGAATCAGCAACACATCCCTCCAGCAGTCCAGAGCCTCACCACCGAAGAAGCAATTCCAGCTTTTCCCAGGTGCAGTCTGGAAATGCTCTAAGAAAAGGCCTTAGACTTTGGTTATTCCAGTAATCGCCACCATGGGGAGTAAGAGAGACGTGTTAGCTGTGTTAGTCCAGGTCCTCTGGAATGATGCCAAGATGGGATTCAACAGACAAAGGTTCACTAGGAGAAATGCCTGAGTGAGGGAAAGCAGGGAGGGAGTGGGAGAGGCCACCGTGTGTGCGAGAGCAGAGAGGGGAGGTGGGAGCCAGTGGAAGCATACTAGATGCAAGTTCAGCGAGACCGTCCCAGTCCTCAAGGCCCAAATCAGCCGCCAGATGAGTCCCATGTCTCCTAGGAGTGGGCCCTGCCACCTTCAGTCATCAGCTGGGAGCAGGGTCTTGGCACGAACGTGGCTGGATTTCCAAGTGCAGCAGCTGGGGCCTAGGTCAGTTATGCTGTGGCTGGAGGTCCACCCGGCGCATTCTCGTGGCCACCACTGAATCAGACGTGGGGTTCCTCTCCCATCTCTGCCAGCTGCTAGCTGTGTAACTATAAGCAAGTTGTGTTTCTGTCGATATGGTGGAAAGCCTGGGCTCTGGGTCCAGACTGCCTGGGTTTGAATCTTAGAGCCAGTAGTCTTCAGTGTTCTCCAGCTGTGTGACCTTTGGCTAGTGCCTTCACATCTCTGGCCCTCGATGTCCTCATCTGTAAAACGGGAAGAGTAACGTTGGCCATGAGGTTCTCTCCTCCAAGGAGCAGACACCAAGACTAAGTGAGGTGTGCAAGAGATTTATTGGGGAACATGCCTGTGAAGAAGATTTGAGAGGGAGTGAGAGGAGGGTCAGAGGAAAACAGGTGGGGAGGAGGGGGGACGGTTGGGCAGGGAAAGTCGAAGATTGAAGTGCAGTTCTGAGGAAGTTTTGACGCAGGCTGTGGGGAATCCTGGAGTGCAAAGTCACTCGGAGGAGCCCTGCACCTCCCAGAAATGGGGCTGCCTCCTGTCCCTGCCGGCCCAGGTACGGGAGCTGCCCAGGGCAAGCGCAGCCACAGTGGGAACATCGGGGTGAAATCAGAGCCCAGCAGCTTGTCAGCCAATTTTGCCCCCTGCGGTTGGAGATCTGAGAGATGTGTTTTCGTGGGGTCCGGTACGTAGTAAGTGCTCCATAAATATGTGCCATTGTGGTTATAAATCACCACCACCACTATTCCTACTCACGGCAAAGGGGGCTCATTGTTCCCTCCAGCCTGGGAGACGCTCCCTCCCACTGACTGCCTTTCATAATGGAAAGCAATGCTTCCCTTCAGGTCATGGCTAAAACTCAGTGTGGACTTTGCTTCAGATTTTCTTCGAATGAGGAGTTAGTGAACAGAAGAACCCACGTGTCAGGGATGAGTTTGATTTCTGGGAGTCATTGGCATTTATTTTCTCATACGGTCCAACAGAGAAAACTGGCTCATGGACTACTGGCCTGCCCTCCATTACATCCCAGCCACGTGCAAATTGTTTTTCTTAAATAATTCTCCCTACTACCCCTTCTCTCGTCTGCCCAATCTCTGCAGAAGAAGGAGCCTTGCTGAGGTCACCAGTAAAACGGCTGCCCTGGTGGCCATTGTGGGAAAGCTAAAAGGAGGCCATTAATCGGTTTAAGACCAAATAAAGATTTTTAAAATCAGAATTGATTTTATCTCTTTAAAATTTTTTTAATGTTTCTTTTTGAGAGAGAGAGAGAGAGAGAGAGTGTGTGTGTGTGTGTGAGTGGGGGTGGGGCAGAGAGAGAGGAGGAGACACAGAATCCAAAGCAGGCTCCAGGCTCTGAGCTGTCAGCACAGAGCCCGATGCAGGGCTCAAGCCCACGAACCGTGAGATCGTGACCTGATCCGAAGTTGGACGCTCAACCGACTGAGCCCCCCAGGCGCCCCAATCTTATCTTTATCGTTGCTCAGCACCTCATACTTTCAGTACCAACTTTGTGTCCCTTCTTGAAAAGTATCCTCGGGGCGCCTGGGTGGCTCAGTAGGTCCTGTTTCAGATTCTGTGTCTCCCTCCCTCGCTCCCTGCCCCTCCCCCACTTGTGCTGTATGTCTCTCTCCCTCAAAAATAAATAAACATTACAAAGTAAAATTCATAGATGAAGAAAATTATCCTCACGGGCTGTGGGGGAGTACAGGCTTCCAGTCATGGAATGGACGAGTCGCAGGGATCATAGGTACAGCGTATGGAATAGAGTCGATGGTGTTGCAGTCGTGTCGTATGGTGACAGGTTTGGTGAGCACGGTGGAAGCATAGACTTGTCCAGTCACTGTGTCGTACCCCTGAAACTAATGGGACATTATATGTCAACAATAGAAATAAATAAATAAAATAAACTGTCCTCCAAAACCCTTCTGTAAGTAAGAAAAAAAAAAAAAAAAAAACATTTGCCCTCTTTAGAGATTGGGCAACTGGGGTATGCCAGAGCTACAGTCAAGTTCAAAGTTGCACAGCGAGTGATAGCTTTAATCCGAATCCAAATATCCCCACTCCCAAGAGTTGTTGGCCTATTTTATTTATTTGCCCAGAAGAAATTAGTTGAGCACCGACTATGTGCCAGGCATTGTGCCTACCCTGGGGAAGAGCCTTCTAGGCAGAGGTAATGGTATGTGCAAAGGCCCCGGGGTGGAAAGGACAGTGAATGGGGAGTGGGGTGAGGAGCATGGCGCAAGACCAGGCTGGGCTGGGGCACGGACCCGATCATACAGCGCCTTAAAGGCCACATCAAGGATTTTGAATTTTACCCTGAGGTCGAAGGGGGAGCCGCCGACCAGTTTTGAGCAGGATTTACTATAATCAGATTTGCTTCTTCTCCTTTCTGTCTACACAGTCACCGTCTCCCCAGGACTTGGGGGCAGTCTAAGGGGTAATAGTGAGACTCCAGTCACCACTGTCTAGGCTTTCAATCTGATTCCTTGGGAGAAAGTACTGGCTAAGAACGTGGACTCCATAGGCAACAGCTGGGTCAAGTCCCCAGCTGTGTGACCGGAGGCACGTGTCTCAATTCTGGATGCTCAGTTTCCTTGTGTGTAAAACAGGTGACCGTAACTCCACCGTCTAGGGTTTGTTGAGAGTTAAATGTACCTACGGTCCTTAGCACAGTCCCCGGTAGATGCTCCAATGCACGTTGGCCATTGTTAATGTTGATTCGCTTTCTGATTTGTTCATTTACTCTCCTGACGCTGGACGGCACCTTTGGGGTCATCAAGAGTCTGCTCTTACTCGTTAAACGTCATCCACAATAGCATTTCTGTCTCCTCTCAGCTGGCTGAAACCGGACATGGGAAAGAAAGCCAAACACAAGACTCAAATAAAGAAGAAAACCTTGAATCCTGAATTTAATGAGGTGAGGCTGCCCCATTTTTGTCATGCTCTGAGAGATTTCCTAGATGCGAGAGAGGAGCACGCTCCCTACTAGGACGTTGTAAAGCACGTCGAGAAAACTTTTTCTCACAGATCGACTTGAATTAGCTAAAGGATAGGTAACGAGTTCCTGGTCACCAGAGGGAATCAAGCCTAAGACAAAAGCCTGTGGATTAGGAAGAAGCTGCATTCGGAGAGAGATTGAAAGGAAATCACCTCCAATGTCTTTACCAATTCTAATAGTTTGTGGTGCTGAAATTTGAGGAAATAAATGGGGGTAGTGATGCCCTTTACCGTCCACCCAGTTGGCGCTCCCTTCCCTCTTCTCCCTCACCCACCATGTCCATCCTGGGCATCAAGTCCCCGCAAGGCCACTGTCTACATACCCTCGGAACGTGCTCCTTCCTGTTGTCTCAGTGTTACTTGTCTGGCGTTTTCTGTCTGGACCGTTGCAGTAGACTCTTGCCTCACTCCCTGGTGTTTGGCCCACCTAAACACGAGCTTTCTAAAGAATGGATCCGGATTTGTCATCCCTGTTGCTTCCCCCAGCAGCGGCCTCCCCGCCTCTCAGGGTGACGGTCAGACCCTTTCGAACTCACGTCCCACCGCTGCCCTACCTGCAGGCCCCTTCTCAGGTCACAGTGACCTCACACGGGTCCTTGGCACGTCTCGTAGCCTTTGTCCTCGCTGCTCCCTTTCTCTGGCCTCCCATCTCTCTCTTTTCCTTTCCGGCAAACTCCTCCTCGTCCCTCAGGAGTTGGGGTGGTGACCCATGCAGGTACGCTCTCCTCTGTGTTTCCAGGCTTTACCTGCCCCGCGTCTTACCCTGTCCCTCTGCATCATGTGTTGACAGTTTTGTCAGATGGTAGGCGCCCGGAAATAGGCGTTGAATGTAATGATCTGATGTTGGGTCAGAGCCCGCGAGTATGGATTTTCCCCAGATGTCGGAAAGCAGGGAAAGAAAACTACAGTACAGGTGTTTTGTGTTGTTTTGTTCTTAAAAATGCATGTGCCTGTATTCATGTGCGCGGAGAATGTTCTGTGTAAACAGAGCTCAGAGCATCCCTGGCCAGTAGTTCAGCCCACCCCGTCCCCAGGCCCCTCTTTCAGCCGGACCCCAACTCAGACTCGGGAATTTTGAGTCAGGAACCAACTGGCAACTGTTGCCGACCTGCCCTACCCTCTCCTGGAGTCTGAACAAGTCACTGAAGACGAAATCCAGACAGCCAATAAGCCTCATCAACAATAAAGTGTGAGACAAGGCCAGACACCATACTCATCACAAACTGGCATAAAAATACCGTAAAATGTTGACACGGGTGTTGGTGAGCCTGTGGGGAAAGGTACACGCCATGCGCACGAGAGCAAACCAGTCTGACTTCCCAAGGGATGTTTGTGAAACTACTCCAAAAGCCTTACAGTTTTTAAGTTTAAATTCCATTTATTCGGGGAACAGGTAATATAGTTACATATTTGAAAATTCCTAAAGGACCCAAGGTATCCAGTCAAAATCCTCCTCCTTTCCCAGCCTCTATCAACTACTTGTCTTCTTCCAAAGTAACTGTACATTATCCGTTTCCAGAATTTATAAGTATACAAAACAAATACGTATGTGGCTTGCTTTCTTTTCTTTTCTTTTCTTTTTTAATTTTTTTTTTAACGTTTATTTTTGAGACAGAGCATGAACAGGGGAGGGTCAAAGAGAGAGGGAGACACAGAATCTGAAACAGGCTCCAGGCTCTGAGCTGTCAGCACACAGCCCGACGCGGGGCTCGAACTCACGGACCGCGAGATCATGACCTGAGCCGAAGTCGGCCGCCCAACCGACTGAGCCACCCAGGTGCCCCTGTGGCTTGCTTTCTTATTGATCACAGATGACATCACAGAATACGCCCACTGCTCTCTATCTTAAAATTTTACAAACTCGGAAAGACATTTCTCGGAATTTATCCTAAGTAAACTGTCATAGATGTACGCAATGACTTAGTTGCAGTTTGCCTTTTCTCATATCATTAACGGCGTGGAAAGTTGGAAACAACCTAAATACTCAACTGTTGGGCATTAGGTTAAGGAACAGCCACACAACCATTAAATGAAGCCATTAAAATGGTGATGCAGAAAAAGATTTGCTAACATGCTAAGCTGTTTTTTTTCTTTTAATTTTTTTTAATGTTTATTTATTTTTGAGACAGAGAGAGACACAGCATGAGCAGGGAAGGGGCAGAGAGAGAGACACACACAGAATCCGAAGCAGGCTCCAGGCTCTGAACTGTCAGCACAGAGCCCGACACGGGGCTTGAACTCACGAACTGTGAGATCCTGACCTGAGCCGAAGTCGGACCCTTAACTGACTGAGCCACCCAGGCGCCCCGCTGAGCTGGTTTTTATCATATGTTACAAAATGGGAAAAGAAGGCCATAGTGCAGTATATTTATTTTATATTTCATAGAGTATTCAAATGTTTCATATAATATAATACTCAAATGAATATTCATATTAACTTTTAAAAACATACTTTAATGTGGTCACACACGGGGAATGGTGACAGTGGCTATTCTTGGGTGGTTAGACTGCAAGTTTTGGTGTTTAGGTTTTATTTTATTTTAGCTTCCTTGTTTGTTTTAATGGTGAATGTGAATGAATTTTATAGTTAGGCAGAAACGTTACATAAAAGTCAGATTATCTGGAAACCTAAGCACCTGTCCCTCACGTTAGCCTCAGGGCCCTCGACTATCCTTAATCTCTAAATGATGGAGTGAAAGGGAAACCCACTTCAGAAGCTACCAGAATGGAAGGACTGATTTCACGGGCCATCTGCCTTCAAGTAAACTTGGCCAGGAGCAACTCTCTTAGAAAAGCCCCATCAGCCTTCCTGTTTCAAACAGAGAGTCATTGAAACGAGAGCTACAGGGCTTGAGGGACTTCATTATACAGAGTGTTTGTTGAAAGGGGATTGTCAGGCCTGGGGTAAAGGCTCGAGCAGGAGGGCCCCCTTGCTCCCAGATGCCCAGTTCTAGGGCCTCCCGTTGGTCCACAAACCCTTAGGGCTCAGCCTCTTAGCTTCTGATTCTAAGGGCTCAGGACCCTCTCACTCACCTGTCTTCCCTCTGCTGCAACCAGGAGTTCTTCTATGACATCAAACATAGTGACCTGGCGAAGAAGTCCCTGGACATCTCGGTCTGGGACTACGACATTGGAAAATCCAACGATTACATTGGTGAGTGCTCCCAGCTCCCAGATCTCCCCATCCTCCGGGGAGAGAAGAGCCTTACCCAGGCTTCTCTTGGGGAGGGGGGCGGTGGAGGGGGGGGGGGTTGGGTCAGGGCATTCTTTGTCTTTTGTGGCCACATTGCCCAAACACCAAGTCAGGACCCATGGTACTGGTTTGGGTCCAACGTGGGGATGCTTTCACAGGAAAGGGCTTACAGAGCTGGGCGATTGGGTCACGATTGGTTATGTGCTGCACAAATCATCTTTAGTGCATAATCGAATCACAGAGGAGAGTGGGGTCTGTGGCCTCAGAAAACAGGGCGCAAAGGAAGTCTCCTTGATCTGTTTGCAAGTCGTGGAGGAAGGTTCTAATTTTCCCAGCATCCCTTCAAATGATGAGGAAGAACAACCGGTAAACATGGGGCAAGGGAGGGGGCCCCGGGCAAAGGCCACAGCATAGGCAACGGTGTGGAGTACCCAGAAGGAGTGGGGAGAAGTTTCGCCGGGCGGGGTGGTCGCTCACAGAAGGTCTTTAAAGATGAGGTCGCGAAGCTATGACCTGATGCTACAATAGGGAGCCATGGCAGGATCCTGAGGAGCTGGCGCACAGGCAGAGAAGGCCAGCAGTAACCACAGCGTCATTACGACAGCCCCCCACAGAGAAGGATCCCAGGTTGCTGGAGGGGTCACTTCTCGGTGGCAGTTTTTCCCCAGCTAGACACTTGGGTCCAGAGTGAGAGTCCCACGCATCTCTCCGCTCTGACTGCCTGCTCCTGTCTCCCTATCTCGTCCTCCAGGAGGCTGCCAGCTGGGGATCTCAGCCAAGGGAGAGCGCTTAAAACACTGGTACGAGTGTCTGAAAAACAAGGACAAGAAGATTGAGCGTTGGCACCAGCTACAGAATGAGAACCACGTGTCGAGCGATTAGGATGCCCCCCGCCAGGTCCCCAGCTCCACGCCCCACCCCCATGCCAGCTCACCCACCCGCCTACCCCAGCTGCCCTTTGCACTCTGGTCCCTCTTCTCTCTGCCTCCTCCGCCCCTCCCCTCCCTGCACCTGCCTTTGAGGTGCCCCCCCCCACCTTGGGCACCACTGCCAAAGACCTTCTCCTCCCTCCCTCTGCGATGCTGTGGTGCGGGCCCTGAGTGCAGCCCCTCTCTGGTCCCTCTAGGATGGGGCAGCAGGGAGAGGGATGGGGCGATTTTGACAAGGAGGCTGGAATTTAATGACCTCTCTGGGTAAACGGCAAAGGTTCCTCGTCATTTAGAACTGTTTTTAGACCCTCCTAGCCTCGAACACACACACACACACACACACACACACACAACTTGCATTTCCTGTGTCGTGTCTGCGCATATCCTCAGTTGTCAGCAGACCCGGACAAGGCTGTGAGGACCAGCACTGGGGCAGAAACAGAGCATCCAGGCCAGGCTGCCCCTCCACAGCATTACCCGTCCCCCGCCGATGGCCAGGAAAACAGACCACTGGGTTTAAACTCCCCGGTGACGAGGAACACGCCCCCCGGGCTCCAGATGCATCAAGAAATGGGCGCATGGAACACCCAATGGGATCCGGTAGCCTCCTCTTTCAGGATGCCCCCCCACTTCCTTCCTAGCAAAACCCAACACCCTTTCTCTAGCGCCCCCACCCTGTCCCTCGACCTCTCTTCCCCTCTCCCGGGCCCTACACCCCACCAAACTCTCTCACCTCCTCACGCTCCTCCTTCCCTGTCCATCTCTCTCCCCTCCTCCTTTCTCTCTCTCCAAGGGCTTCACCCAGCCTCGCCCCTCACCAGCTTGACCCAAACTGGCGCAGCCTGGAAGTCCCAGTTGGGCCGTGCTTCTCAAAACTTCCACTCCTGCCCGCAGGGCCGGGTGTCCTTGGGCTGGGCCAGCTGCTGGCGACGTCCCGGGAGCTGTGTAGACCTCCTGTAGAGGGCTTCCTCAGCCCCTGGGCTCCCCAAGTCGGTGCCAAAGGCATTTAGAAACCAGAGCTCTGGGGGCAGGGGACCTCTCCAAAGCCCCCAGCCTTCCTCCCCCCTCTGCCGTCAGTTAAAGGAACACACGACTGCGTCCTTAGCACTCGCTGACTCTCTGCATCTCTGGGATCCTGTCTCTCACTCAGAATCACCTTGAATCTCTCTGTCTGTGGCTCTGTCTCAGTCTCTGTGTCTCTTGCCCTTTCTTCACCAAGTTTGTCAGGGGAAGAAAACACCATCATGAATGGAAAGCTTTCGAGAGTGACAGATCCTGATGCCAAAGGCCATTGTCCCATCATGAATCGGTCGGTCTCCCCCCCCCCCAAAAAAAAAATAATAATAATGGAAAGGAGGAAAAAAGCAATGAGAATGAACGCTATAAATTTGAGGCTGGGGCCAGGCAGTCTTTCTTGCCCCACGAGAAAGGCTTGTGCTTCCCCCCCCCCCCGTTTCCCTTGTCTACCCCTGTGGAAATCACCTCCTTCGGTCTCACCGCCCACCATCATCTATAGACATCACCAGATAGACACTAACGCCCTCCCTTTCTCCAGACGCACCTTTGAACCTCTCCATTCAATGCCTCCACCCCCAGCTCCCTGCACAAACTCATCGGAAGACTCTGGTTTCTCGCCTCGAATAACCATTTTCTAAACATCGAGATGGCTCTTCCCCTTCCCCAAGATGGCCGACAGCTTCCTCGCTGCCATCGTGCCCCCTGACCCTGTCTCTCTGTCAGTCCCCGTGGCACCCACTCTCAGCCCACCTCCTTCCCACGGTCGCCCTTAGGAGAAAGCATGCTGGCTGTGTTGCTCAAGCCCGACGCTGGTGTGGGCGCTGGAATCGGCATGCAGCGAGCTCATGGTGTCCCCGGTCTGGGTGCACGCTGTCCCCGACAAATGTAACCACTTCCCTGCCTAGAATCCACACACGCCCTCCAGTGCATGCAGAACCTCCCACTGCCTTTCTTAGTGATGATGTAGCCAAAAAATAAAGTAGGAATACCCAGGAAAGCTGGCTGGCCTGGGGTTTTCCTTTCTGGCTTCCGGAAGTGCTTCCTCTCCGTCAGGACCCATGATGCTACTGGGAGAGTCAGTATTTAGTGAGTATCTGCTACGTTCCAGCCCTTGGGGACACAGCAGTGGACGAGGCAGATGTGGTTTCTGGCCATGATGGCTGAATGCTGTTCCCTGGTACCCAAACCCTCCTCTTGTCTCTCCTAGCCCAACCTTGGGAAAATTCCAAGGTCACGTGGAATCAGATCATGCCCAAAGAGACGACAGAGTTGGGCCAGGGCCTAGCCTAGTCCAATCAACTCACTTATCTCACAGAGGAATTACCCAAAGCCTGGGAAAGGGAATAACACACCCAACGGCTCACGACAGCAGTGCCAGGAAAGAAGCTGTTTCATGGGACTCCCGGCACAGTGTCCTTAACACAGTGGCTCATACTATCACCGATCATCAAACGCCTCCTTTGTGTTCTAGAACCTTCCATCCTACAAGGAGCCTTCACAGATAGCCTTCGGTGGTCCTAAAAGTGAGCTGAGGAGGTAACTAACTTCCCAGAAGGATGATTAATCTCCCTATGATCTATCCCGAAAGTGTTGAACCAATTTATCGGGAATGTTGGTTACTTCCCAGAAGGAGTCATCCAGTTCCATCCAGGCCATGTTAGAAGCTTTTTCTTCCCCCCCCAAAAGGGGGGTTCTCAATCCTGGGGAAGAAGTAGGCATGTTAGAATCACCTGGGGAGATTTTCTTTTCAAACTACCCATGCTCTCCCTGCCACCCCACCCCCAGACTCTCCTGCGCCCTGGGGACAAGGTGTACATTCCAACCTACTTCCTGGTTGACGCCTTATGGCCTTCTGCTTCCCACACCCATGGTGACTTTGCAAACCGCTGCCCTAACGTCCATCTGTTTTTCCTACAAATCAGCCAGCTGCCACCAGGTGGAAAGAGGTACCAGCTAAGGCCATGTCGCACCCCCAAAAGTGGCAGGGGGCGCTGCTCAATGCAGACATTGCTAACCTTGCCCCGTGCTCATGGCAAACATTGCTAATCAATATGGCGTCTTTCTCGCACAGCCTGCTAGCAGCAACCAAAAGAATTCAGGATGCAGCCCGGTTTTATAGGCAAACAACAAACACTCAAAGATGATCAGCCAGAACCAGGATCTAACATCCACGGTGTTATTGAAACATAATCTTTTTCTCTAAAGTCACCCTCATTCCTATTAAAGATAGCCAAATTAATACTAATATGTTTGTAAAATAAGTCCAGGTTTAATTATTTACATAAGCACAGGAAGAATAGTGATTGACCCTATGGGTTGTTTTTTTTTTTTTCCTTTTAATCTGCTCTGCTGAACTTTTTATAAAGAATTTCAGATTGAGCCTTTAACAACGTTAAGGCCAAGAGCCGAGCCAAATATTTGCCGTCTGATTCACCTGTAACACCGGTAGATTTAGGTGAATTCCTCTCTTCGTGAGGTCCTCCAAAATTTCCCGAGGTTCCTGTATCCACCAGGAAGTGACATCCTTTACGCACCTGGTAAGGCTGTTGACAACTCTGGAAGTAAGGTAGGAGGCTAACATTTCCAAGGGGCTCCATTGGCTCCAAGTGAACCTTTGTTCCTTAAAACTGTCAGGCCATATCTGAGTCTGTGCACATCTCTCTCAAATAGGACATTCCAGTCAAAGCCTCATGCTTGTCATGGAAGAAAGAACACTCGTTGAGAGTTTCCGACTTCTGGAAGGTTCAGGCAGGGAGAAAAGATAAATGTTTCCATTTCTTTACAAAAGAATATTTTGTCAAATTTCTGGAAGTCGTGGCTATCTTAGGAGAAAAGGCTTCCTTAAATCTGGAAGTGCAAATGAATAGGGGAAAAGGTCAACATTAGGCAGGGCGAGATCAGGGACCCCTGGGCGGCAGGCTGCAGGGTTTGGGGGGGGGGGAGGATAAACGTATTCCGGACCCGCCTGGGCTAGATGCCATGAGTGGAGTCTCACAAACTTTCTGATAAGGTCCCAGTAAAAAGTCAGGGGCAGAAATCCTCAGTGGCTACCCCATCGGGACCTTCCGCACTCTTGAGAGCTTCATACTTTCTCTCAAACTCCATCGCTGTCGTGCTGGAGATTCATTCTTCCACTCCGTGAGACAAGGACCAGCATCTCGCCCACCCTCCCGTGACACAAACATTAGAGAACCAGCAACGTTTCAAACAAGAATCGTAAGAAACTCTAGTCCTCTACCTCCATGCAGTCAGTCCCGTGTTGTTCATTCTTGTTCTGAGTGGAGCTTTTCTATTAGTTCTAGAAATGCTTAGTTTAGTTTTCTGACCTTAAGGATATCGGACACCTGTATGTGTTAAAAGTTGTGTTCGTGAATTTCCTTGAAGCTGAAACATAGTTTGCAAGAGCATCAGAACAATAACTGTAAATGGCAGGAGACTCAAAAAATGGCCCTGGTTATGTGGTAGAGTCCCCTCCCCAAGGAAAGGGGAAAATTAAAAACAAAACAAAACCGGGGCGCCTGGGTGGCGCAGTCGGTTAAGTGTTTGACTTCAGCCAGGTCATGATCTCGCGGTCCGGGAGTTCGGGCCCCGTGTCAGGCTCTGGGCTGATGGCTCGGAGCCTGGAGCCTGTTTCCGATTCTGTGTCTCCCTCTCTCTCTGCCCCTCCCCCGTTCATGCTCTGTCTCTCTCTGTCCCAAAAATAAAATAAACGTTGAAAAAAAAATAATTTAAAAAAATAAATAAATAAAAACAAAACAAAACAAAACAAAACCAACCTCAAGGTAACCCGGCTATACGTGAACGTGACAACATCCCTCATGACCTTGCAACGTGAGACCACTTAATCAGACTACGTGTATTCTGTGTTATCCTATATGGGAGACAAGGAAGCAGAAAATATATTTTAAAAACTACCCCACGTGGCATCCGGGGCTCAGTTCTTTGGGTACGAACCCAACTGAGCAGGGCCGGCAAGAATAAAGTCGCTTCCTGGAAAGAAAAGCCTCGGTGTCACAACTCCGTGTGCGAGAATCTTGCTACAGTTAAAAATCTGATGAGAGTTTATTCTGATGCAGTTGACAAGGAAAGTTGGTTCTTTTTGTGACACACAACACTTTCATAATTAGAACTCTAAGTGGTGACATCATGCCAGGACATATTAAAATTTTAGGAATTTTGGGGCACCTGGGTGGCTCAGTTGGTTGAGCGTCCGACTTCGGCTCAGGTCACGATCTCGCGGTCCGTGAGTTCAAGCCCCGCGTCGGGCTCTGTGCTGACAGCTCAGAGCCTGGATCCTGTTTCGGATTCTGTGTCTCCCTCTCTCTCTTCCCCTCCCCTGCTCGTGCTTTGTCTCTCTCTGTCTCAAAAACAAAGAAACATTAAAAAAATTTTTTTTTAATTTTAGGAATTTTATCTAATTTCTGGAACAGTCATGGCTTTTGCCCATGTAATGTAACCAAAAAGGTTTACCAATGTTTGTTTGACATTGCTTCCCATGTGCCTCACAAATCCAATGAACAACCCTAATTAGTTAAAAAGACTTTATTTAGAACTTGAATTTGGGGGAAATTTGTTACAAATATCAAAAGGTTTGAAAGCACGGGCCTAAGTAGGATTACAGACTACTATAAAACCTAATATTTAAATATTTATTTAACCAAGGCGGCAACGAGAGATTTGAAAGGCAAATAACAAGGGTATATAGTTGTTGGCAAAACTTAGCTCCTTTAATATTGATAAGATTCAGGGGCGCCTGGGTGGCGCAGTCGGTTGAGCGTCCGACTTCAGCCAGGTCACGATCTCGCGGTCCGTGAGTTCGAGCCCCGCGTCGGGCTCTGGGCTGATGGCTCAGAGCCTGGAGCCTGTTTCCGATGCTGTGTCTCCCTCTCTCTCTGCCCCTCCCCCGTCCATGCTCTGTCTCTCTCTGTCCCAAAAATAAATAAACGTTGAAAAAAAAAAATTAAAAAAAAAATATTGATAAGATTCAGTTTTATTAAGTAATCAAGGGCTCAGTAGAAACAAATACAGAAACCTTGTTTTTCTGGGAAGATTAAAAAAAAAGCTTTAGAGTTTCTCATCAAGGGCAGACCAACAATCCAAAAAAATCCTGTATTTTTATCAGAGAGAGAAAAACCAAAATTTAATGTTAGACCAGTGTATTTTTAAAGCTAATGTTTTCCAGTCTTAGTGTGAGTGGGGGAGGGGCAGAGAGAGAGGGAGAAGGGGAGAATCCCAAGCAGGCTCCTCACTGTCAGCTCAGAGCTGGACATCAGGCTCCATCCCCTGAACCATGAGATCATGACCTGAGCCGAAGTCAGACGCTCAACCGACTGAGCCACCCAGGCACCCCTGGACCCAAGTACCTTTAGTTCCCCTACAGTTAAGAGGCTAAAAGCAGAAAAACCGACATTCAGTAATTAATGTTTCGGTCTTTTATCTTATCTGGAAAAGACTTAGAGATCCAATGAATTCAATCCAATTTATCATTTTTTTTAAACTTTTTTTAACGTTTATTTATTATTGAGAGACAGAGAGAGCATGAGCAGGGGAGGGGCAGAGAGAGGGGGAGACACAGAATCCGAAACAGGCTCCAGGCTCCGAGCTGTCAGCACAGAGCCCGACGTGGGGCTCAAACCCACAAACCGCGAGATCATGACCTTAGCTGAAGTCGGTCGCTCAACCGACTGAGCCCCCCGGGCACCCCAATCCAATTTACCATTTAACCTGGCAAAACTGTAAAGTTTTAAATTTTTTTTTTTTAACGTTTATTTATTTTTTTGGGACAGAGAGAGACAGAGCATGAACGGGGGAGGGGCAGAGAGAGAGGGAGACACAGAATCGGAAACAGGCTCCAGGCTCTGAGCCATCAGCCCAGAGCCCGACGCGGGGCTCGAACTCACGGACCGCGAGATCGTGACCTGGCTGAAGTCGGACGCTTAACCGACTGCGCCACCCAGGCGCCCCTAAAACTGTAAAGTTTTAGATAGATAAAAGTTTATAGATAGGGGCCCCTGGCTGGCTCAGTAGATGGAACATGTGACTCTTGATCTCAGGGCTACGAGTTTGAGCCCCAAGTTGGGGGTAGAGATTACTTAAAAGCAAAATCTCTTTTAAAAAATGTTTAGCTAGGGGCGCCTGGGTGGCGCAGTCGGTTGAGCGTCCGACTTCAGCCAGGTCACGATCTCGCGGTCCGTGAGTTCGAGCCCCGCGTCGGGCTCTGGGCTGATGGCTCAGAGCCTGGAGCCTGTTTCCGATTCTGTGTCTCCCTCTCTCTCTGCCCCTCCCCCGTTCATGCTCTGTCTCTCTCTGTCCCAAAAATAAATAAACGTTGAAAAAAAAAAAATTAAAATAAAATAAAATAAAAATAAAAAATGTTTAGCTATAAACTCTTTTTTAAAACTTTGTTTATGGGGCATCGGGGTGGCTCATTCGGTTAAGCGTCCTTGACTCTTGATTTCGGCTCAGGTTATGATCTCACGGTCTTGAGACCAAGCCCCTCGATGGGCTCTGTGCTGAGTGTGGAGGCTACTTGGGATTCTCTCTCTGCCCCTCCCCTGCTGTGTTCTCTCTCTCTCTGCCCCTCCCTTGTTTATTTTCTCTCTCTCTCTCAAAATAAATAAGTAAACATTTCAAAAACCTTAATGTACTTGTTCTTAATTCCCCGGGAAAACTTCCTGAGACAGACAAAAATCATCCTTTTAAGTCCTTTTTGCTGGTAAGTTGTAACAGAATCAACATGAATTTAATAAATTCAGGTCGAATAAAAGCTGATTATCTGAATTATATTTGATGCCGATACCTCCAAAAACATGTCTGTTTTAATTAAACCAACAACCTTGAATTAGCTCTGATACCTAGTATGTTGCACCTGTGTCCGCTCAAAAGCCCATCCGCGTACTCCTGTCAGTTTCTCCGGGGCCCCTTGTGGGCTAATCTGAGGTTGGAGCTTTAAGTCCAGGGGAGCCCTAGGCCCCCTAAAGCTGATCTGGGAGGTGCTTCAGTTTGAGCCTCATAAGGAGGTGGCCCAGCAGCGTGGGGTGCTTTTTCCTCCGAGATAGTGAGGGGTCCCGCTGGGTCGGCTGGCCACCAGCAGCTGGCTCCGACTGTGACAGCCACCAGCTCAGGAAACGCACAGGTGGGCCTCCTGCTCGTCTCGGGGAGTCCCCGGGGCGCTGGAGAGTCAGACACACAGCTCCTGGCTGTTCGCCGCAATCTGTTACTGGACAGAGAATCGGTTTCGCACTCGGGTTCGGCGGCTCATTGCTCAAAAATCGATACTCAGGAGACCCATCATGGGGGGAAAGGGAGGGTTGTGTTATTCAGGGAGCCGGCAACCCGGGAAGGTGGTAGACTGACGTCTCGAAGACCATCTTCCCTGTCCAGGCCAAGCCAGAGGGTTTTAAAGGGGAAGGCAGGGGAAGAGGGAGGGGGGCTGTGGGCAGGAGAAGCAGGTGTCCGGGCGGTGACTTGTACTCCGACACGCCCCTGAGCAGAACTGCTGGTGTCCGCGACAGCTGTTTTTGGTCAGCCTCATGCCTGGGAAAGTTCTGTCCTTCTCTCCTCGAGCCTGGTGGTCTGCAAGTTTCAGGGAAACTGAGTTCTGCCACAGACCAAGGGACTTAGGTCAGCAAGCGAGGAGCGCAGAAGCTTGAAGAAGCAAGTTGTCCCTTAAGGCCGGTCGGAGCGCTGTTACAGGAGCTTTTTCTGCTCAAGTTTTCTGTAAACCTGAAACCACTGCAAGAAATTCAGCCTATTAGTCCAAAGGAAAAATGTATATAGCGTGATGCCTTAAAAAAAAAAAAAAGAGTTTTGGGGGGGCATCCGGGTGGCTCAGTCAGTTAAGCCTCCGACTCCTGGCTCAGGTCATGATCTCACAGTTCATGAGTTTGAGACCTATTTCTGGCTCTGTGCCGACAGCTCAGAACCTGGAGCCTGCCTCCCATTCTGTGTCTCCCTCTCTCTCTGCCCCTCCCCCATTCGTTCTCTCTCCCTCTCTCTCTCTAATATCTCTCTCTCTCTCTCCGTCTCAAAAATAAACATTAGGGGCGCCTGGGTGGCGCAGTCGGTTAAGCGTCCGACTTCAGCCAGGTCACGATCTCGCGGTCCATGAGTTTGAGCCCCGCGTCGGGCTCTGGGCTGATGGCTCAGAGCCTGGAGCCTGTTTCCGATTCTGTGTCTCCCTCTCTCTCTGCCCCTCCCCTGTTCATGCTCTGTCTCTCTCTGTCCCAAAAATAAATAAACGTTGAAAAAAATAAAATAAAATAAATATTAAAAAAAAGACAGAACTGTAACTGTCTGTGTGTGTGTGTGTGTGTGTGTGTGTGTGAACCTAGAAAAATCTCTGAAAAGATCTATGCCAAAGCCTTTATAGTGGACATTTTTGAGTTTTAGGGTCCCGGATGGTCTGTATGCTTCCTGATTTCTCTGACTTCTTTTCCATTTTATAATGTGCATATACTGCCGTGAAGCTCAATTTTGTCAGCAACCAAAAAAGACGAAGCAGGAAACCACACATCAGTTTTTTAATTATGATTTATCCCAAGCGAGGTACGAGTGTGGGTTGAAGTGCAGGAGTTTAAGAACACAGTCTGAAGAAAGGTCTGACGTCCTTAAAGGACCAGAGGGTAGGTTTCCCGGTGGGAGGCGGATTCGCTAGGCTAAGCCCCTCCCTTCCCAGGAAACGAAACTAACTGACTCAGACAGCAGGCGGTCGGAGGTTAGGAGCTTCGAGAAGCCAGCTCCAAGAAGTCAGCTCCACCGCCACAGGCTCTGCTGTGCCTGCCCTGAGTATCATGTCGGGGTGGAACCTCAAAGACATCCCTGCCGGGAATCTGGACAAGTTCATCGAAGACTATCTCTTACCAGACACACGTTTTCGCAGGCAGGTCAGACAAGCCGTCCACATCATCTCCACTTTCCTGAAGGAGAGGTGTTTCCAAGATGCGCCACACCCCGTGCGGGTGTCCAAAGTGGTCAAGGTGAGCCCAAGCCTGCTGGCCTGGGGAAGGGGTGGCTGAGTGGGCCAGAGTCCCCACAGAGACAGAGAGAGAGCAAAAGGTTCGGGTCTTCAGGGCAGGTGGTTTCTGACTTAGCCATAGCGAGCACATATGACCATAGCCTGTCAGAATAGGTTCTGGGGTGAGACCCTCCATCTGTGATTTTTTTTAATGCTTATTTTTAAAAGAGCACAGCGCGGGAGGGGCAGAGAAGGGGAGGGGACAGAGGATCTGAGGCAGGCTCTGCGCTGACAGCCGTGAACCCGATGCAGGGCTCGAACCCATGAAGCAGTGAGATCGTGACCTAAGCCGAAGCCAAGAGTCAGGTGCTCAACTGCCTGAGCCACCCAGGTGCCCCCCTCCACCTGTAGCTTTTAAACAAATGCCCTGACTGAAGCTGAGGAACCCTCATCCTCGGCCGCGTCCATTTCAGAGATAGGGAAACTGAGGCCCAGCTCTAGTAAACAATTTGCTGATTAGTGGCCAGGCCGGGGACTCACCATTTCTGCATTGTTTGTTTGTTTTTTCCTGACAAAATGACTTCCAGAGCCCCTCTCCAGCCAACAACAGCTAAATGTTCCGATGACTTTGTGCGGCTGAAGAGTTGTTGGTATTGCCCCCTGTAAAGTGTACACTCTGCAAAAACAGAGCTGGACAGCGCTCTGGGGTCCATAAACGGGGTCCAGGCACCAGCTGTCTCCCCAGATGCTCAGCTTTTCAACGTCCGTGATAAACTAGTATTCTTTTTTTTTTTTAATTTTTTTAAGTGTATTCTTTTTTTTTAAGTCTTTTTTTTTTAACGTTTATTTATTTTTGAGACAGAGAGAGGCAGAGCATGAACGGGGGAGGGTCAGAGAGAGAGAGGGAGACACAGAATCTGAAACAGGCTCCAGGCTCCGAGCTGTCAGCACAGAGCCCAACGCGGGGCTCGAACCCAGGGACCGCGAGATCATGACCTGAGCTGAAGTCGGCCGCTTAACCGACGGAGCCACCCAGGCGCCCCTAAGTTTATTTATTCTTGAGAGGGAGAGACAGAGCATGAGCAGGGGAGGGGCAGAGAGAGAGGAGGAGACACAGAATCGGAAGCAGCCTCCAGGCTCTGAGCGGTCAGCCCAGAGCCCGACGCGGGGCTCGAACTCACGGACCGCGAGATCGTGACCTGAGCTGAAGTCGGAAGCTCAACAGACTGAGCCACCCAGGCACCCCCCCACCCCGGGCCTTTTTTTTTTTTTTAATTTTTTAAAAATTAATTTATTTTTTTTTGCTTGTTTTATTTTTTACATTCCACATGAGTGAATTCATACGGCATCTGTCTTTCTCCGTCTGATTTATTTCACTTAGCATAATAATACCCTCTGGGTCCATCCTTGTTGTTGCAAATAGCAAGATTTCATTCTTTTTTTATGGCTGAGTAACAGTTCTGTGTGTGTGTGTGTGTGTGTGTGTGTGTGTGTGTGTATACACATCTTCTTTATCCATTTGCCTGTGGACGGACCCTCAGGTTGCCTCCATAATTTGGCTATTGTAAATAATGCTGCAGTAAACATAAGACTGCATGTATCTTTTCAAATTAGTGTGTTCGTTTTCTTTGGGCAAAGTACCCAATAGGGGGATTACTGGATACTATGGTATTTCTATTTTTAATGTTTTGAGAAACCTCCACAGCGTCTTCCACAGTGGCTGCGCTAATCTACATTCCCACCAACAGTGTGGGAGGGTTCCCTTTTTCCCCCCATCCGCAATGGGGACTCACCATTTCTACAGTATCATGAGCTGGTTGAGAGTATGAGTTTTGAGGGGCGCCTGGGTGGCTCAGTCGGCTGAGCATCTGACTCTCGATTTCAGCTCAGATCGTGATCTCGGGCCCCGCATTGGGCTCTGCACTGACAACACAGAGCCTGCTTGGGATTCTCTCTCTCTCTCTCTCTCTCTCTCTCTCTCTCTCTGCCTCTCCCCAGCTTGCACACGTGTGCACACAGGTGTGTGCGCTCTCTCAAAATAAATAAATAAACTTAAAAAAAAAAAGAGTATAAATTGTGAAAGCAGATAGCACCTACTGGCTTTGAGCAAGTCATTTCACCTCTCTGTGCCTCAGTTTCCTCATCCATCATGCCCAGTGCCCTATCGGGCCATATACAGATTAAGTAAAATAATGCATGTAGACCACCCAGCAAGGGCTGGTCTGCAGTCTATAATCAGATACTAAAGGACAGGATGTAAAGAACACAGACTGGAGAAGGAGACAGCCGGGGTTTGAATTGTATCTGTGCCACCTACAAGCTGTGCTCCCGGGCCGCTGCGTCACCTCTCTGAGCACCTGTTTCCCCATCTGTAAAGTGGGAGCTGGTAACAAGAGCGTGTAGGTCAGCCATAAGGCTGAGGGCATTATGGGAGTTAAGACTGGCGATGCCCTCAGATCAGTGGCTAATGCTCTAGAATGTTAGTGGCGGCTGTCATCATTTTTGTTCGGGAGGCCCTCCCTTCTCGGTAAATGTCCGTTCTCGTTCTCCTCATCTGTCGTAGGGTGGCTCTTCGGGCAAAGGCACGACCCTCAGAGGCCGATCCGACGCCGACCTCGTGGTCTTTCTGAGTAACCTCACAAGTTTTCAGGAGCAGCTTGACCACCGGGGAACGTTCATCTGGGAAATTAAGAGGCAGCTGGAAGCCTGTCAAGAGGAGGAAACGTTTGCAGTGCAGTTTGAAGTACAGAGTCTGCATTGGGAGAGGCCCCGGGCCCTGAGCTTTGTGCTCAGGTCCCCCCAGCTCCAGGAGGGGGTGGAGTTTGATGTCCTGCCTGCCTTTGACGTCCTGGGTGAGCGCTCACAGACGCAAGGGCTTTCCCCTCTGTCCCGCCACAGGGCTGCTTTCTTTTTTCATATTTCAGAGCAGAACTTTCCCACAGTCGGAGAGTCTTACCGAGACGGGGCATCCCTTCGTAGGGGGTGGGTCGAGATCTTAGAACGGATCAGGTCACGACCGGCCACAGGAGCGACGTTAAGTGGCAAATTGGCGCAACTTGGGGGCAAGACGTCCCTTGCGGAACACCTTCTGTGCTGGCCGGCTCTACTTGTGGCAAAGCGTGTAAATTTTAGCTTTCTGCAAGGGAGGCAGTGTAGATCCAGCCTGCGGTCCGTACGTGAATTTCATCTATTGCCCCAAACAGGAGGAAACCCTGCCAGACTTGTGCTGAGGGCTGGAGTCTATATCGACGACCCACAGCCGCATTTGGACAGGAAGCAGAACCTCTCAGGGGCTCAGTTTCCGCATTCGGAAAGCTGGCAAAACCATGCCACCTATGTCCTACTCTTAAGTATTGAGCGAGCATCCGCATTCAGCTGTCCCACGGGGCCTGGCGCATAGTAGGTGTTCAAGAGTGTGAGTTCCCCAACTATAGGCCGAGGCACCCCAGGACACCCCAGTGAAAACACTCACGGGGAGCACACGGAGTAGGTTAGATTTTAAGTTTTTGAGGGACACACAATGCCGTCTGGGGGACACCGCACGAACCACCGCTGTTCATTTGTAGACTGAACCCCGTGCATGGAACTCCTCTTGGGCGGAGGGGACCCTTGAGAAAAATACCGAAACTCTAAAGGCACCGGGAAATGAGAAAGTTTGGGAATCTCTCCTTGTTGCCATGTCCGGCGTTGGGCGCTGGCGTATGATGGTTACCAAAGAGATAAGAGGGGGAGAGAGAAGGGGAGGAAGGACATGCCCGGCAGAGGGAACAGCACAAGCAAAGGACTGGAGATGAGAAAAGGGGAGGATGTGTGGGGGGGACTGCTAGACACTGAAGAGAGTGAGGGGAGGGAGGGAAGGGGGGAGGGAGGGAGTGGGGAGGGCGTGGAGGGCAGGGAAGGAGGGGGGAGGATGGGGGGCAGGGAGGGAGTGGGGAGGGTAGAGGGGGCAGGGGGGAGTGGAGAGGGCAGGGAAGGAGTGAGTGGGAACTGAGCCAGAGAGAGCTGATCCTGCAGAAACCTGCCTCCTTGGTCAAGGGTTTCTTCTGAACACAACAGAACAGCTGTGGGAGGGTTTCAAGTAGGGGAGTAACCTGGTCAGATTTGTGTTTTAGAAACCTAGTCCAACGGTAGCGTGGAGAATAGATGGGAAGAGAGGCACGACCGGAGTTTGGGAGACATTCAGTCAACAAGGATAAACACGGATTATCCACTGAGTGCCTACTGTGTACCAGGCACTGCTCCCTGGCCACGAATGAGCCAGACAAGGAACCTCTATCCTGGAGCCTGACATTAAGTATAGAAGCAAGATAAATGGAATGATGCCTGCAGAGCGATACGATGGAGAGCGACCGGGAGGTGGCGGGGGAGGGCTTTTTCAGACAGTGTGATGAGGGAGGGTTTCTGAGGAGGTGACGTCGGAGCTGAGGGATGAGAAGGAGCCAACCATGGGAAGATCCAGGCAGAAGAAACAGCAAGTGCAAAGGTCCCGAGACAGGAGTGAGCTTGGCATGTTTGAGGAAGAGAAAAAAGGCCCCAGGTATGAGCGGCAGGGGAGCAAGGTAGGAGGTGAGATCCCACAAATTTCCTAGGCCACGGTGGAGATACTGGGTTTTATTCTATGTGGGAAGCAGGAAGCGGTGTGAGCTGGTTTTGAAAGTCCTCTCTGGGTCGAGAGTGGGCTGTGGAGGAACCAGTGAGGAGGCTCACCTCGGGGTGAGGTGGGTTGGCAGAAGAGATGGGAGAAGGGAAGGCTGGGGATGGGCTTCGGGCCCCCTGGCTCGGCCCGTCACCCTTTCCGCTGCACCCCACGGCCAGTGAGCCCCAGAGTGGCCGGACGAACATCAGAGATGCTAACATCTTAGAGGTACGTATGGATTTGTCCCTAACAGGGCAGCGGACCAATACCTACAGACCTGACCCCAGAGTCTACATCAAGCTAATCCAAGAGTGCCAGGACCTGGACCTAGAGGGAGAGTTCTCCACCTGCTTCACAGAGCTGCAGCGAGACTTCCTGAGGCAGCGTCCGACCAAGGTGAAGAGCCTCATCCGCCTAGTGAAGCACTGGTACCAACTGGTAAGTTCCTTCTGCCTGGGGAGCTGAGGAGGAGGAGGAGGGAGAGAAGGAAGGGGGGCATGGAATAGAGGGAGGGGTGGAGGAGAGAGAGGTGTGGGGAGGGAGAAGGAGGAGGACAGGGTTGGGTAAGAAGGGGAGAGACAGGTGCCAGGGGACCCAGGGTGTCACACTCCTCCCAGTCTTTCCCATCCCAACACGTGACAGCCCCATTCTGCCAGTTACTCTGGTCTGAACCGTACATCTTCCTTGACCTCTTCACATGCACACCTCCATCCAACCAGTCAACAAATGGTGTTGGTCCTATTTTTAAAATATACCCACAATTCATTTATTGTCACCACTTCCATCGCTGTCGCCTGGGTCCCAGGCATCTTGCGAGGCTCCCGGGATCTGCCCTTGACCTCGCTGAACCCCCATGTCTGCCCTTCAGGCCATGCCGCCTCCCTTGTCGTTCCTCCAACAGCAAGACTCTGCTCCAGCCTTTGGACCTTTGCAGTTGCTTATGTGTTTGTTTAGCGTCTGTCTCTCCCGCTAAAAATGTACACGAAGGAAGGGGTTTGTGCGTTTTATTTACTGCTGCGTCTCCGGAGCCTAGAACAGCGCCTGGCACATAATAGGTGCTCAGTAAGTAATTGTTGAATAAATTAATGAATGCTATCACCACACACACACACACACACACACACACACACACTTCTGTCTGCTCCCTGGCTGTCTGACCTTGAGCCATCAACTTAACCTCTCTGTGCTTCTTATTTTCTCATTTGTGAAGGGCAACGTGGCCTAACGTGACATGGTGCCTGGCACAGCCGATCCTCATGGATGTGGTTCCTTTGAGCCACTGCCAAGAGCGCACATAATAAAAGTTAGCATGTAGTATGTGTTCATCTTGTCCAGGCTCATCATATTTAATCTTTTGTGGATGTGATATGCATTTCCATTTACTTTAAGACATCCTATATCTCACTTAATCTTCATGGTCGTTCTGTGAACTGAGCGAGGGGAGGTATCATTATCAAGCCTGTATTACTGGAGGAGTAAGAGTCAGATCACTCAGCTAATAAGGAGCAGAACGAAGCCTTGAATTTGGGTCTTCCGACTGAAGACTGCCTGATAAGTAATATACATCTTATAATACACGTGTATATTTTTGGATGAGCAATTGGGTGAAAGAAAGCAATTAAGGATAACCTTCCTACTTGAAAAATTATCTTCAAGGCAAAGCAAGAAATCGCTTATTTGCTAGACACCTGAAGTTTGCTGATCTAGGAAATTTGATCATGGAGCCTGAGCATTTTAGAACTTACAAAAGTGGTTCTTGACAAGTGTAACACTGGCCCCAAGGACATTGAAAATTCATGAGGATGCTTTTTGGTAACCATGGTGATCGGGGGCAAGGATGCTACTGACAATTAGTGGGAAGAAGCCAGGGATACTAACTGTTCTACGATGAACAAGATGGTCCTGCAAAAAACTGTCTCTTCCTCCCTCCCTGTCCTTCTTCCCCTTCTTCCTCTTCCCCTCTCTCCCTCCCTCCCTTAGTCTCCTCCCTCCTTCCTCTCCCTCTCTACCCTTCTTCCTCTTCCCCTCTCTCCCTCCCTCTCCTTTCCTGGAAAGCAATACAGGAACCTGACCGTCCTTTAACCCCACTTACCACCACCATCACCATCTCCAACTCACATGCTACTTGTGTTGTATATTTCAAGTCTCTATATGTTCAAGGGCCTCAAAGCATTACTATTATTTTACAACATCAGTGCTCATTTTATCTATCCACATATTTACTACGCTCTTCACTGTCAGCTCTCTCCTACGTCTCTAACTGTCCCCCGGGGATCACGTTCCTTCTTCCTGAAGTATGTCCCCTTGAAAATTTTTTTGGTGACTGTCTTGTGATAATGAACTCTTAGTTTTTGTTTGCTTGAAAATGTCTTGATTTTACCTTCGTTGTCGATGGGTATTTTTGCCATATATTTGGCGGTCATTTCAGTACATGGAATACGTCACTCTTCCGTCTTCTGGTGTCACTAGTGACGAGTCAGTTGTCAGCCTAACCGTGGCTCCTTTGTAGGTAAACTGTCTGATTCCTCCGGCTGCATTTATATTTTTCTCTTTGTCTTCGATTTCGTTTCATTTCAACCTGAGGTGTCTGAATGATGATTCCTTTTTCACTTGTCCTGTTTGGAGTTCACTGGGATTCCTGAATCTGTGGATGGATCTCTTTCATCAGGTTTGGAAACTCTCAGCCATTCTCCTAAAATACTGTTTCTCTGTCTTCCTTGCCTCCTGGAACTCCAGTTAATGTATGTTAGACCTCATTCTGTCTTCCGTATCTTTATACCGTCTTCCATATTTTACATCTTTCTGTCTCTCCGTGCTTTTTTCCGGATAGTTCATTCTAATATACTCTCCAACTCACTAATTTTCCCCAAACTGTGTCTAATTTGCTGTTGACTTATTAATTACAGTTATTATCGTTTTTTATACTATGATTTCTATTTTATTTATTTTCAAATATGCCATGCTACTTGTTACGGCTTCTAATTTTCTCTATTTCAAGCTCTTCCTTTATTTCTTTAAACACAATATTCCTAGTTATTTCAAAGTCTATATCTGATCCTTCAATATGTACGGTTCTGTGGACTGGGACACCTGGGTGGCTCAGTCGGTTAAGCGTCCAACTCTCATTTTCGGCTCGGGTCGCGATCTCACGCTCAGTTTTGATCTCTCACTCAGTTTTGTGAGTTCGAGCCTCCCATCAGGCTCTGCGCTGGCAGTGCAGATCCTGCTTGGGATTCTCTCTCCCTCTCTCCCTCTCTCTCTGCCCCTCCCCTGCTCACACTGTCTCTGTCTCTCTCAAAATAAATAACCTTAAAAAAAATTTTTTTAAACTACTTTCCCTAAAAAAAAAAAAAAAGTTCTGTGGACTTATTACTATTTTTCTCTTTCTTCTGCTGGTTATTACTCTTGGTCTCCCGTTTCCTCGTGTACCTGGTCATTTACGCGCAGGTCATGATACTTATAAATTCTTTGTGAAATCATTTGACCCTCTGGGTTAGCGATCTTACTCCAAAGGGACTTTTGTTTGGCTCTTAGGAACACTTCAATTTCTTCCTCTCAGTTAATTGTCACGGTATCCTTTTGGGGTTGGTGGTGTTATTACACCTCACCTGGCAGGTAAGAATAACGAGGTTCCAAGGGTCTAAGTTGTCTTCTCGGAATTGGACGCTGGTGGATCCAGGACTTGAACTCGCCTCACGGATAATCCAGAGCTCAAGCTCTTAACCAGGAGTCAGTAAAATTTTTCCAAAATGCCTTAGATAGTGACCATTTCAGACTCTGGGGGCTACATACGTGGTCTCTGCCTCAACCAGCCAGCTCTGTCTTTGTAGCATGAGAGCAGCCACGGGCTACACACAGATGAATGGGCGTGGCTTTGGCTTCAAGGAAATGTTATTGACAAAAGCAGATGGCAGGCCGGATTTGGCCCTTGGGAGATGTGCTTTGTGCCACGACGGGACAAGTGCATGTTTCTGATGGTCTTTTCCCCCTCCTCAGTGCAAGGAGAAGCTTGGGAAGCCACTCCCACCCCAGTACGCCCTGGAGCTCCTGACCGTCTACGCCTGGGAGCGTGGGAACAAGCAGACAGATTTCAGCACCGCTCAGGGGTTCCAGACCGTCTTGGTATTAGTCCTGAACTACCGGGAGCTTTGCATCTACTGGACAAATTATTATGACTTTGAAAACCCTATCATTAAACAGTACCTGAGGAGACAGCTCAATAAATCCAGGTACCCTACACTTCCACGTGGGTCGGCTCCCCACAGAAAGGAACCCCTGGTGCCCTGTGGCACCTTGGAAGTGGGGGGGGAGGGGGAGGGCTCCGTGCTCACGGATCATCTTCTCTGGCCAGTCATCGTGCTGAGCATTTTACTACTGCCCATCTGATTGAACCTACAGCCTCCCGCCCTGTGAGGCAGGCAGTATGTGGCCACTTTACAGGTGGACAAACTGAGGTTCTGAGAAGTCAGGAGCTTGCCTAAACCTTAACAAAAACACGAGTAAAATTTCAACAGCCGCAGCAACAATGCTCGTTGCTCCGAGGGATTAGAGCTTGCGGCAAGACAAACGCATCCTGATATAGTAAGCAAAAAATTACAGTCCTTACAGCTAACGTGTACCGACCTCTTACTACGTTCCGAGTCCTGTGCAGAACATTTCCCACGTTCTGTCTCCACCCTCACATCATGTCCTATGAGACAGGTGTCCTCTGCTCTCCCCATTTCACAGATGAGGAAATTGGCTTAAAGAGGTCAACTGACCTGCCCAAGAGCAAACGACTAATAAAGGGCAGAAGGGAGATTCAAACCCAGGCCTGTCAGACCCAAGGGCCAGGCTTTTTCTCCCCTTGCCCACCACCCGCCACGGGGGCAGGGCAGTCAGGACACGCCCCTGGGGGAACAGCACCTCCCCCCCCCCCCCCCCTCCTGCCCTGAGTCCCAGCCTGGGCCAGGAGGCTCTCATCCCCCAGACACAGCCCTAACTCCTCACCTGTCCCTCTCTCACTGTTACTCTCCAGGCCTGTGATTCTGGACCCGGCCGACCCTACAGGAAACGTGGCCGGTAAAGACCGGTACAGCTGGCAGCGGCTGGCAGAAGAGGCCAGAGTCTGGCTGGGTTACCCATGCTTTACCAACAGGGATGGGTCTCCGGTGGTCTCGTGGAACGTGCAGGTGATTTGCGGCTTCCCCTCTGCTGTCTTCCCCCGCCCCCCCCACCTCCTCCGCACCGTGTGGTGCTTGCTGCTGGAGAACGTTCTCTCCAGAGAGGTGGCCTCTTGCTACCAGGGTCCCCTAGTCATATAGTTTCAGGATACGCTCCATTTTCTGTCATCTTAGCCCCGTTTCGCCGGGCTCCTGGGATTTGCATATCCCTTGTCCAGAGTTCATTCTTTTTTTTGAACGTTTATTTATTTTTGAGACAGAGAGAGACAGAGCATGAACGGGGGAGGGTCAGAGAGAGGGAGACACAGCATCGGAAACAGGCTCCAGGCTCCGAGCCATCAGCCCAGAGCCCGACGCGGGGCTCGAACTCACGGACCGCGAGATCGTGACCTGAGCCGAAGTCGGCCGCTTAACCGACTGAGCCGCCCAGGCGCCCCCAGAGTTCATTCTTTAGTTACCACTACCCTGGCCGGAGGCAGCTCTTCCAACAGACCCCGCGGGCTCCTTCCTCTGCGAATAATAATAAACAATAACAGCCGCCGTTTAGCGAATATTTGCCCTGGGGTCACGTTCTGTCCCAAACGGATGGCTACATTACTTCATGAAAACAACACCCTTTGAGGCGTGTTTCCTACTCCCATCTTACCTGTGAGAAGAGGGGCTCAGAGAGTCACCTGCTCAAGGACATTTAGCGCGGGAGCTCCCGCGGTGGAGCGGAGATCCCAAGTCGGTGGCTTCCAGTGCCAGCGCTCAGCCCGCCGTGCTCTGCAGCGTCCCCGCGGGTATCATCCCGCACACGGGAGACTCCGCACTGCTGAGGGACGCGGGCGTGCCGCACAGCCCGGGAAGAGGCAGAGGGGCCTGAACTTGGATCTCTGCCCCACCCCCCACACCAGGGCCGTAGTCTTTCGCACAGCAGGTGACGTTGATGACATTGTAGGTGGGTTCCCCGGGGAAGGAGTGTTTTAGGGGAGAACCATCCGAGTCAACAGGTGTGGAGGAGGGGGAGGAAGCAGGTGTGGGCGCAGGGAGAAGTCCAGCTGGGGGTGTGCCCCTGTGTGAGTCTCGGCCAGCCCCTCCATGGGGGAGTCCTGGGGCTCCGTGGCCTTCAGAGTTGCCCTGCCACAGTCCGGGGCGGTCAGCCCTTTAGACCCCCCGTGGACCAGTCACTGAATGTGGGCAACTCAGGAATGGGCATCGCCTTGGACATGGGGCTTTCTGCAGCCGAGGCGGCCCTGAAGGCCAGGGGTCTGTCTGCTGCCCGCCTCCCCAGCAGTTGGGACTTGTTTGTCCGTCCTCCAGGGGGATCCGGGTGGCCTGTGACACTGTAAATGCTCACTGAGACCCAGTGCCAAGGGGGAAGGATCAGCTCTGCAATGTGATCACGTGCTTTACCCTTTTAGCCTGAAGAAGACTATCCAAACGATTGGTTTACCTGTGAACACAGGACATATCAGTGTCATGATTATGGATGGCGTCCTGCACCCTCTGAGAACCTCAGCACGAGCCTGGCAGCATCCGTTCCCCAGAAGGAAGATGACTGGACGTGTGCCATCCTCTGAATGCCAGCCCATCTTCAGGCGAAGGGCTCCAGAATCATCCAGACCAGTCCCCTCATTTTGGAGGTGGGGGGGGGGTCCCTTGATCCAGATAGCAGAAGACGGCCCCCAAAGCAGCGGTGAATGGGTGTCAGACTTCAGACCCGAATCCAGGTCTCCCGGCCCCCACTCTTCCCCCATTCAGTGGTCTTTCAACCCATCATAGATGACGTTCCCTGCAGCCCCACCCTACCCCAGCCTGATCTCTGACAATGTTCTCTGAGAGACAACCAGAGAGCCTTAACTGTATTCTGTCTTCCTAGTGGGAGAGTTCTAGTCCAATTTCTCGTCAATAACAGTAAAAAGAACAGCAAATACCGTGTGTTGGATGTTTAGTCACTGCAAATCACACCATCGAGAAGTGTATCCACGTATTATATGTGTGTATACATGAGCCGATTCAACCGGAAACGTGTATTGGGTGCCTGCTGTGTGCCAAGCATTGTTCTGGATGCTAGGAACATGGCAATGAACAGAGCAGATGAAAAATCCCTGCCTCATAGACCGACATTTGCATGGAACCTTGTAATAATTAGATCACTTTGGGTCCTTCTAATTTTCAATTACAAATAATCCTAGGACCAGCAGTTTTGATTCACCCTCTGTCTACACTTCTGATCATCTAGGAAAGTTTTTAGAACTGCCCTGTCTGATGCGGTAGCTTCCAGACACATGTGGCTGTTATGCCCTTGAACCGCAGCCGGTCCAAATCGAGGTGTGCTGCGAGTGAGTGTGTAATTCACATACCTGGTCTCAGAGACTTAGCACACACACACGAACAGAAGAATGTCACATGCCTGACAACTGATAATTTTTAAAATTTGTTTAAATGTTTATTTATTTTGAGAGAGAGAAAGAGAGCATGAGTGAGGGAGGGCAGAGAGAGAGGGAGACACAGAATATGAAGCAGGCTCCAGGCTCCAAGCTGTCAGCACAGAACCCAATGTGGGGCTTGAACCCACAAACGTCATTTCTTTTTCATGACATTATTTGGTTATTGTCTTTAACATTAGCAAAGTAAAGAAATCATTAGAACGAATGGAAGGAAGGAAGGGAAGAAAGGAGGGAGGGAAGGGGGAAGGAAGAAAGAAAGAAAAACACTCCATGGTCCCTTCCGCCAACCTGTAAACACTTGGGACCTGTCTCTTCAGCCTTGTCTCTGACTCTCCCTGTCTCCCTGTGTATGTGGTGTTTTTATAAAAATGGGATTCTACTCCCTACCTGGTTTTGTTACCTGCTTTGTATCATAATTATCACTATGCTGAGTAGGAAATTTGGGCTATCACATATAATGGCTGCATTGCACTATACCATAATTAAGTGGATAATCCACTTGTGTCATCTTTTTCTTTTTTTGGAGAGAAAAAAGTAAAACTGTCTTTATTCACAGACTGTGTGATCGCTTATGTAGAGAGCTGGTGGAATCTTCAGAAAGCTACTAAAATTAACAAATGAACTTCGCAAGGTTGCAAGATACAAGCCAACGTACAAAATTATTTGATCGGGTTTTTACATACCGGCAAAAAGATCGGAAATTGGACATATGTAAATTAGGGATAAAGTTGACAAAAGTGTGCATGATCTCTACCCTAAAAAGTACACAAGATTTCCACAATAAATTGAAGAAGTCCTAAATAAATGGAGAGATATACTGTATGATGGAATGCAAGACTTAATATGGCTCAGATGTCAATTCTTTCCAAATTGATCTATAGATTCAAAGCAATCCTTATCAGAATCCTAAGAGGCTTTTTTTTTTGCTGATTCTTTTTAAAAAATTTTTTTCTTTTATTTATTTTTTAATTTTATTTTTTATTTTTTAAACTTTACATCCAAATTAGTTAGCATGTAGTGCAACAATGATTTCAGGAGTAGCTTCCTTAGAGCCCCTTCCCCATTTAGCCCATCCCCCCTCCCACAGCCCCTCCAGTAACCCTCAGTTTGTTCTCTATATTTAAGAGTCTCTTCTGTTTTGTCCCCCTCCCTGTTTTTATATGATTTTTGTTTCCCTTCCCTTATGTTCATCTGTTTTGTCTCTTTAAGTCCTCATGAGTGAAGTCACAGGATTTTTGTCTTTCTCTGACTAATTTCACTTAGTATGATACCCTCCAGTTCCATCCACGTAGTTGCAAATGGCAGGATTTCATTCTTTTTGATTGCCAAGTAATACTCCATTTTGTGTGTGTGTGTGTGTGTGTGTGTGTGTGTGTCCCATCTTTATCCATTCATCCATCAATGGACATTTCGGCTCTTTCCATCCTTTGGCTCTTGTCGATTGTGCTGCTATAAACATGGGGGTGCACGTGTCCCTTCGAAACAGCCCACCTGTATCCCGTGGATAAATGCCTAGTAGTTCAATTGCTGGGTCATGGGGGTAGTTCTATCTTTAGTTTTTTTGAGGAACCTCCATACTGTTTTCCAGAGTGGCTGCACCAGTTTGCATTCCCAACTGTGTCATCTTCTGAGTGTTTCATGATTATAAATGATGTTACAGTCATCAGTAGATTAACTGAAAAGCCACATCAATCATACAGTAGTACTATTTTTTATTTATTTTAATGTTTATTTCTGAGAGAGAGAGAGAGAGAGAAAGAGAGAGAGAGAGCATGAGCAGGGGAGGGGCAGAGGCAGAGGGAGACAGAGGATCTGAAGCAGGCTCTGCACTGTCAGCACGGAGCCCCGACGCAGGGCTCGAACCCACGAACTGTGAGATCGTGACCTGAGCTGGAGTCAGACGCTTCACCGACTGAGCCACCCGGGCGCCCCTGTTTTTTCTTTTTCGAGGAACCCCCATACTTTCCTGTAATGGCTGTGCCATCTGGATTTCCTACCAACAGTGCACAAAGGCTCCGTGTTCTCCACCTCCTCACCAACACTCATGTCTCTTGTTTGTTCGGGAATAGCCATTCTAATTGGTGTGAAGTCATAGCTTTATGGTTTTGATTTACAACTCCCTGGTGATTAGCGATGGTGAGCATCTTTTCACACACCTGTTGGCCATTTGTGGTCTTCTTTGGAAAAAAGTCTACTCGAGTCCTTGGACCATTTTCAAATTGGGCTATTAGTGTCTTTGCTACTGGGCGGTAGGAGCACCTTAGGATTTTGCAGATGAACCCCTTATCAGATTCACGGTTTGCTAATATTTTCTCCTTTTCCATAGGTTGCATTATTCCTCCGTTGACTGTTTCATTTGCTGCACAGAAGCTTTTCAGTTTGATGTCGTCCCTCTTGTCCAGTTTTGTTTGTCTTGCCTGTACTTCACATATAGTCAGCTGACCTTCAGCAATTTGCCAAGAATACACAATGGGGAAAGGCTAAGCCTTCAACAAATGGCAATGGGAAAAGGGGATACCCACATGCAAAAGAATGACCTAGACCCTTATCTTACACTATACACGAAAAGCCACTCGAAATGGATTAAAGACTAAATCTTATATTACAGGAGGGGCACCTGGATGCCTCAGTCGGGTAAGCGTCTGACTTCGGCTCAGGTCATGATCTCGCGGTCCGTGAGTTCGAGCCCCGCGTCGGGCTCTGTGCTGACAGCTCAGAGCCTGGAGCCTGCTTCGGATTCTGCGTCTCCCTCTCTCTCTGCCCCTCCCCGCTCATGCTCTGCCTCCGTCTCTCTCGAAAATAAACATTTGTTAAAAAATCTTATATTAGGGGGGAAACCCACAAAAGCCTTCTCCTGGCCTTTTCTATGTTAATTTTATACTCACTGTGTGAAGTCCCACCCAAAATATGGGGAGGCATTTGATTGGAATTACATAAATTAGTTTAGGAAGAAAGATGCTGTTGTTCTATTGAGAATCCCCATCCATGAACTTGGAGTGTCTCCTTATTAATTTTAATCGTCTTTTTTATTTTAATCGTCTTTAATGATGCTGTAACCATTGTAATATGTCACTGCACGGGTCTTTCACATCCTCTGTCATATTATTCCTACATATTTGTTTCTATTTTACTGTCCTCAGTATGTTCTCTTTAATTGCATTTTGTAGCATTTGGTTCCTGGAAGACCTAAATGTTGCAGAGAGTGTATTTGATTATAACATTTCAAGCGATCTTTATACTCTTCTGAATTTTCTGACTTTATCAATTCTTTTTGCAATAAACTGATTGATGCTGGATTGATGCTCAGAATTGATGCTGAGGCCCACCCCTCTATGCTCCCAGCCCCTCCCACCCCACCCCTGGCTCAAAAGAAGGTGATTTGGTTGGGGGCGGCAGGGGGGACAGGGCACCTGAGTGGCTCAGTTGGTTGAGCGTCTGACTTCAGCTCAGGTCATGATCGCAACAGTTCATGAGTTCGAGCCCCATGTCGGGCTCTGTGCTGACAGCTAGGAGCCTGGAGCCTGCTTCGGATTCTCTCTCTTCTCTCTCTCTCTCTCTCTGAAAAATAAATAAACAGTAAAAAAAAAAATTTAATTTAAAAAATCTGAAAAAAGGAAGGTGAATTTTAACCTAATGCCGCCTTTGAAGCCCCGAGTGAACGCTCCCAAATACCCCACACACACACGAAGCCCTCCCTGCACACCCCTGTGTCTGTGACACGTCAGGGCCCCTCCCCCGAGCTGCTCAGAGCCCTTCCTGCCCTGCAGAAGCACTTTCTCCCTCCCGTGTTTCAGGCCAACACGGCCTACTTCCTCCAGCCCCACATCTGTCTCGGGCGTCCCACAGACCCCAGTTCGCCCGCGGGGCCTCTACTTAGCATCCGGCAGCATGATCCAATGTGTTCACCTCTTCCCTGTGATTTCTAGAGTCTAAGGCGGCAGTTGACAGCTTGTGTACGTGATCGGTCCCCCGTCTTCATCCAGTCTTGACCCTTCCTTTTCTCCTTCCTCAACATACCTCAGCTGTCCTGGTCCCTTGACGGTGATCTTTCTTGATTTCCCACCTGTTGAGTTGCAGGACACTTTTAACATATCTTTGCTGTCATTTTGGTGGGATCTCGAATGTGCGTTCAGCATACTATCTCAAATGGAGGATTTCTTTCTTTTTTAAATGAATGTTTATTTATTTATTGAGAGAGAGAGAGAGAGCGCGCGCCCAGGGAAGGGGCAGAGGGAGAGGGAGACACAGAATCCGAAGCAGGCTCCAGGCTCTGAGCTGTCAGCACAGAGCCCGACGCGGGGCTCGAATCCACGAACCGTGAGATCATGACCTAGGCTGAAGTCGGACGCTCAACCGACGGAGCCACTCAGGCGCCCTGACAAATGGAGGATTTCTAAAGTGACCTGTGAGTCAGGGAGATGACTGATTAATAGGAGAGCTTGAAAGCATGACCTGATGGCTGAGGGCACCCGACTTGAATCCCCTCCACAATATCAAACGTACAAAATGGGCGTCTTCCTACAACTGAATACCTCCCAGGGATGTGGCGCTCGCTACCCGAAGTAGAAAACCAGGTGTCCACCCCGGTAGCCTGCCCTCTCTTCCTCTGGTTCGCTATGAGCTGTGCAGTTCACCCTCCGACCCCATCTATTTCCTAGAGGTTAAGGCAGACTTCAGAAAGTCCTTGTTCACATTCATTGCTACCCAAGACAGAGTGACTGCTGGATCCCTGAGCGTATGGGACAGAGGACTAAAGAATTTTTGAGTGGGATAGGGAGGAGGGGTTGCACGGTGGCATGGGCGGAGCCTGGGAAAGAGCTCACCTTCTGGTCCTCTGGGTAGAGGAGCCACAGGGAACCCGCCAGCAAGGTCGAGGACAGGTGTGAAGATAGAAACCCCTGGTAGCTTCAGGTCTCCACTCTGCTTACCTCCGCCTAGTTTTGCGCCGGTCCCAAAGGGATCTAACGGGCAGCTTTATAACACCTTGCTATGTAACGTTGCGTGAGATGCCATGGTATACTCCTCTTCCTTCCCCGTTTCTCCCTTTTAAAAGAATTCTTCTTCCAGGCAGGACTTCAGAGTATGTCTGAAGTTTTAAAAATTGGGATTCTAAACATTTTGGAATTGCATTAAACGTGTAAATTATTTTTATACTCCTGTAAGAACAGGCGCTCCTGTAAGAACACGGCGCATTACTGAGAGCGTGTGCTGGGTTCGAATCCAGTCTGACAATTTTCCAGCTACGTATGGGACCTTGGCCGAGGTGCCTAGATTCTCTGTACCTTAACTCCGTCCATCAAACGGGTGTGGTATTAATAGCGCCTGGCTGTCGGGAGGATGGAACGCGATGGTTGGACGTGTAAAGCAGCGAGGGACAAGCGTGGTGCAAAGGGTCCTCCATTACTAGCGGTGTTCAGAACGCCCCCTTCAGGCAGAGAGCAAGCGGGGTGCTCTCTGGGTGAACCTCCTCCAGGCCACCAGGCGTGACCGTGTCCTCGCGTGTAAATCCTGCACGTTTCTTCAATGCTTCCAGGGTACGTGACGGTGCTCTGTGGACCCGCTGCTGCCGAGGCTTTTTGTTCAGGTGTGTTCAGTGCATCGGAGCTGGGGGGGGGGGGGGGGGGGGCTGCAGGGAAGGCCGACCCAGTGCTGGGAGCCGGGAGGCCGAAAAACGAATCTCGGCTGGGAAGGGAACCCGGAAATGGGTGCGAGAGCCCAGAGCTGCTGGAGAGAAAGGAAACCGAAACGAAAGCGGGAGAGGGGCGGAATGCCTGCGAGGCTGGGGAGCAGGGACGCGGGGCGCGGCGACGGGGAGGCTGGGGCGGCAGCCCCACCCCCTGCCCTCCCGCCCGGCGCAGAGCCCAGGTCGGGGCGCCGCGGGCAGCGGGGAGCGCGCGCGGATCCAGCGGGAGGGCAGCCGGCCGTGGACATGGACGTGTACCGCACCCCCGCCGCCGCGCTGGACAACCTGGTGGCCCGCAGACTGCAGCCGTCCGCCGAATTCGTGGGGGCTGCGGGGCGCGCCCTGGGCGCCCTGGGGACCTTCCTGCGGGAGCGCGGGGGCCGCGCCGCTGCCCAGCCTTGGAGGGTGCTGAAAATCGCCAAGGTAGGCGCCGCGCAGGGGGCAGGGGCAGGGGCGGGGGCGGGGGCGGGGGCGGGGGCGGGGGGGAGAGCTCACCTGTAAACAGGAACAACCCATTGCCGCGGGCGATGTGGCCCCGGACGGTATCAGCTGTTTCCATTCATTTCTTTGACACTTTGGAGGCACGCTTGCGGTGCGCCAGCGCTGGTCTAAGTGCCCTGAAAATACACTGCACACCACAGCCCGGCCAAGTGGGTACTATTAACCGCACCCGACGCATGGGAAACTGAGGCACGGAGCGACGAAATGATGTGTCCAAAGCTTGTAAGAGGCCCGGCAAGATTCAAAGCCAGGTCGTCTGATTCTTGCATCTGTGCTCTTACAGGCTGCCTCCATTCATTCATTCATTCGTTCACTCGCTCACTCACTCAGTCGTTTACCCAGTCCAAACAGACTCCAGTCCTCACACCATGCCTGACCCTAAAGATGCAGAAACCCTAGTATTTCTCCAATAGCCACGGAGCCTAATTTACTGCGAAACCGCCCAATAACAATGAACGTTGTCTCATTAAATGAGTCATCCCGCTGAATCCTCACATTCAAGGAGGTAGGGATTATTACCCCTGTTTTACGACTGGGGGAACTGGGACTGGGGGTGGGTGAGCCACTGCCCCGGGCCACGTTTTGCCATTTAAATGCCTTCCTGCTGCTGTGACCTCAGGATGCCCACAGGCTCAGGCAGGAGACAGGCATCAGCTTCTGTGTCCTCAGCACAAACTCAGGGGCTCTAGGGCTGCGACGAAGGAACTTGGCTGGGGTAGAGGGGACTTGGAGCTTCTCAGGGAAGGGATGGAGACACAGGGCAAGGGACGGCCCCAGAGCAGCTGGTGGTTTCCTGGGGCTGAGTCTTAGCTTGGGAGGTGGGAAAGAAGGGGAGGCTTGCAGCCTGGGAAATGTGGAGGCAGATTTCTGCCTTTGAGGTGGAAAGGACGAATTTCTTTGGAGCAATAGTTTAAGAGTCTCTAAAGCGACAGTTCTTATGGTTGACTTTAGCTTATGGCCTTCGGATCATTCACAGCTTTGAAGGAGGCAGTGGTAAGGTGGGTATAGGGCCATGAGCTACCTTTCCAGTCTTCCGATGCTGCTCCCTGTGGAAAAGACTCCTTGGAGAATGGCCAATTCCAGGGCTGGAACAATGTGCAAGATGAGCCTGGGGCTTCTAGTTGGACCAGAACGCAAAGAAGGGGTGGCTGACCTCTGTAGTCCTGTCAGAAGGACCGCCCTCTCCCTTCTCCACCCCTGCCCAGAGCCAACAGGAAGGGGCTCTCCTGCCCCAGTTGTGACCACCAAAAATGTCTCCCGGTAGCGTGGCCAAAGGCTGAAATTTCTTTAACAATCCCAGAAGGAGATGGGGCGGCCTGGGTGGCTCTGGTTAAGTGTCTCAGGTCATGATCTCACAGTTTGTGGGTTCAAGTCCCTCATCGGGCTCCGTGCTGACAGCTCAGAGCCTGGAGCCTGCTTCGGATCCTGTGTCTTCCTCTCTCGCTGCCCCTCCCCTGCTCATGCTCTCTCTCTCTCTCTCAAAAATAAGTAAACATCAAAAATTTTTCTAAAATAAAAACATACATGAAGCACATGTGGCAACAGACTTCCTCAAAAACCCGCTCTTCTTTTGTGTAGGTTTAGAAACGTGCACAATAAAATAAGTATTTTTAAGGGAATTCATCGATGGGGAGGGGTGCAGGAAGAATGTAGGCTTGGAGCCCAGTCTTCTGAGCTGACCTCCCAGGTTCCAAGTACGGTGCCTTCTCTGAGTCAGGTTGTCGGTGAGCAACATCTCTGCATTTTCGTTTCCTCATCTCCTCATTTGTGAAGTGGGAGCGGTAACAGTACCTTCCTCTCAGGCTTGTTAGGGAGCTTCCGTGAGATGATCAAGCGCAAAACAGGCAGGAAATGCTCGGTTTACAATATTCCTCCGTGCTCTGCCCTGTTCCCCCTTTGTTGGCACCCCCCCCCCCCCCCCCCCCGGCGGGGGGGGGGGGAAAAAAAAAAAAAAAAAAACCTGGGATGCCACTGGGATAATTCGCCATCCCAGCTCGGTGGGGGAGATGCCCTCTGGAAGGCTAATCTGGTTCTTGGCTTTTCCAGGCTGTGTTAACTCACTTCACAGCCCCGAGGCTCATGTAACCGCGTGTAACCACATCACAGGGACTGTCTGGAAGTGAGATTACAGGTGTCAGACATTTGACAGAGCTCCAGGCACAGGGTAGAGACTCTCATCGTGGGAGTTTCCTTCGCAGGTCCTTCGCTGACAGCTTTGCAGAAACAAACACCCGTCAGAAAGGTCCCGGACATTCAGCAAGTCATATCATGGTTTTGAACTGATCCCAGGCAAAAGCCGAGAACATGTGTTCTGCAAAGCAGAATTTGTTTCACCAGCATTTTGAATTAAAGCTTTTGTTCAATGTTTGTTTATGTTTGAGAGGGAAAGAGAGGGGCGGAGGGGCAGAGGGAGAGGGAGACGGGGGATCCGAAGCAGGTTCTGTGCTGACGGCGGAGAGCCTGATGCGGGGCTTGAACCCACAAACCGTGAGATCATGACCTGAGCTGAAGTCGGACACTTAACCTACTGAACCACCTAGGTGCCCTTAAAAAAACTTTTTTTTTTTTTTTTTAAATTATAAATTAACAAAAGCTTTTTGAAGTTAGTGGCCAACACTTAGAGATATATGGATTTACAAATAAAACATGCCTTTCTTGAAAACTCAGGCCTGGCTTTCCTCGGCCTGCATTTCTGCATGGCTTCACATGCCAGGGGCTGTGCGCCCGCCGTCTCCCCCCACAGCCCGCGTGGTTCGCTCAGGTTGCCTACCAGCCCGCTCGGTCACCAGAATCGAAGAGTGCAGAATTCTGAATTGTTTTTTCCTTCACAGGGAGGTTCCTCTGGCCGGGGCACAGCTCTGAGGGGTGGCTGTGATTCCGAACTTGTCCTCTTCCTCAACTGCTTCAAGAGCTACGAGGACCAGGGCGTTCGCCGTGCAGAGATCCTCGACGAGATGCGGGTCCTGCTAGAATCCTGGTGGCAGAAACCCATCCCCGGTCTGAGCTTTGAGTTTCCCGAGCAGGACGCGGCCAGGGTCCTACGGTTCCGACTGGCATCCACGGACCTCGAAAACTGGATGGATGTCAGCCTGGTGCCCGCCTTCGACGCTCTGGGTGAGGGGTGCCTGACCCATTCCAGGGTCGGGGGCAAGATCCTTAGGAGTAGGACCGGGCTTCCAGTCCTAACCCTGCCACCAGCCTGCTGTGTGGCCTGGGCATCCCTCTCTGGGCTCTTGTTTCCTGACTACACGCATTGAGTGTGGGCCAAGAAAGCCCGGTTCCTCCCGGATCTGCGGTCCTGGCGTCTAGAAGCTCGGCCCTCCCTCAAGCAGCTGGGGAGACGTTCCTTCAGCCACTGCCGAGAACAGTGCTGCTCGGCCCTTCCAGAAATACCCCAGGGGGAAGGCACAGCCGCCTGGCCTCAGGGGGCTTGGGGACAAGGCCAGCATTCTGCAAAATCTTGTATTTCATCTGAAAGGCATTAATATGATTTTTGCGCTCCCCTTGATAGTATATCCATGCTTGATTTATAATATAGTATATATAATGTGCCCCTGTGCCCACATCTGTAAAATGAGGTTAATAATAATGGGACCGTAGCAATCCATCTTGCAGAGTGTTTGGAAAGACCGTGTGCGTGAATACCTGTGATGAACTTGACACATGATGGGGCTGTACGAGTGCTTGCTGTCCTTCTTTCTATTTTTATTATTATTATTATTATTATTACTATTTCCCATTATCAGTGTTCTTCTTACTAACCATGATGTCCTGGGAGACAGCTCTCTTGAACTTATCCAGGTTACGACGTCCTGACGGACAGCCACACTCTCCCACGCTCGGTACACGTATACTAAACACAATAGCTACTGCTTACTCAGTGCTCGACTCCAACAAGCACTTGACCTATTTCATCTCATTAATTCCTCAGAACAAACCTATGAGGTCTGTACTGTCTTGTCTTCCCTTTTCCTAAGAGGGGCCCTGAGGCACAGAGATGGACGGTAACTCACCCAAAGCCGCACAGCAAGTAAGCGATGTCGGGGGAACCTGGGAAATTATGGAGCGCGTTTCCTTTACCCAGGCCAGGCCCACAGGAAGCGGGGGCGGGAAAGGCCCACGCCGCAAAGGCAGCCAGCTTTAACTTCCAGTCCTGTGTCCGTCACTTGCCAGCTCTGTGACCGGGGGCAGAGCCCTGAATTTCTCTGTGCCTCAGTGTCCGCAGCTGTAAGATGAAGTGAAGGCAAGTTGCCCGGTGGGGTTTTGGTGGGGAGACGCGGCACTCGGTGTGAAACTTTAGTGTCGCAAGCACTAAAAAAATATTATCACTGCCAAGGGCTCAGAATCCTTTGCCTTACCGTTTCCCCAGCACCGTGCCTTTCCCCTCTGGCACCAATTAAAGGTATGTGCAGTGGCATTTTTGTTCTGCCTGAGGGAACCGCAGGGAGGGAAGAACTACCAGGTTCTAGGTACTCCTGATTCAGCTGGAAGCATCCTTCCTTTGGAGCCGGCTTGGAATGCAGTCGGGCCCTGGGGGCTGCCTGGCCATTTGGAAGGAAGGGGCTCTTCCTTCTGGTCTAGACCTTTCCTCCCTGCCCCCTGAGAAGCTCCAGGCTCTCTTCCTCATCCTCCAGCCCCCATGCTCCTGGATACCCGCCTCCACCAGACTGCCCTCCTCCCCGCCCCCGGCTCCCCATCCTGTGCCTCGGAACCCTTCCTGACGCACAGCACTTCACTCCTGCAGGACAGCTCAGTTCCGACGTCAAACTCAAGCCCCAGATCTACTCCCGCCTCCTCGACAGCGGCTGCCAGGGGGGCGAGCACGCGGCCTGCTTCGCGGAGCTGCGGAGGACCTTCGTGAACGTTCGCCCGGCCAAGCTGAAGAACCTGATCCTGCTGGTGAAGCACTGGTTCCACCAGGTAAGGTGGCTTCGGAGGGTCCTCGCCCCAGGCATAGGACTGTTGGAATTTGTGATTTCGAGATGGCGAGAATATTTTCTTAGGTTCCGTGGCCACTCGTGTTTCTCTTTAGGGAGATAGTCCTGTTCATATCATTGGTTTATTATTTTCTTCTGGGCTAGCTGTTTTCTCCTTGTTGGTTTGTTGGAGCTCTTTACATATTCTGGGTGCTAATTCTTACTGAGTTAACATAATGCAGTCTGTTCTCCCAGGACGAGGCTGGGACTTCCGTTTCGTTCTTAGGTCTTTTGTCACGGAAAATGTCGGGATTTTAATGTAATCAGGTGTGTTCATCTTTTTCGTGTGTGATTTGTACTTGGTGCATCTTGTGTAAGTAGGCTTTGCCTATCCTGACTTTTTTCTTAATTTTTTTTAATGTTTATTTATTTTTGAGAGAGACAGAGACAGAGCTTGAGCGGGGGAGGGGCAGAGAGAGAGAGGGAGACACAGAATCTGAAGCGGGCTCCGGGCTCTGAGCTGTCAGCACAGAGCCCGACGTGGGGCTCGAACCCACAAACCGCGAGATCGTGACCTGAGCCGAAGTCGGGCGCTTCACCGACTGAGCCACCCAGGCGCCCCTATCCTTTCTAAAATTCTTCTCCCATATTTCCTTCCAGAAGGTTCTAAAGTTTTCTTTTCGTGTGGGTTCAGGGCTTTGAACTCTCTGGAATATTTTATCTATGGTATGAAGTAACGCGGAGTTTGTATGCTTCCCGCCTCAGCTTCAGGAATGACCCCCACCCCCGAAACATTCATGTTTGTCGACAGACTGTTGTGTATTGAAGACGGGGTGCCCAGCCTGTGCCTGGAGATGAGGGAACAGGCCCCCTCCCCCCCAAGATCTTTGGGCACACGGCTTGGTCTTTCTGGTGGACCACTCATCATAAAGCAAGTCTGGGGGGAGGAGATCCTGGATTCCGGATCTCGTTCAGCCAACAACTCCCTGTGTGGCCCTGGAAAGTTCTGCCATTCGCTCATCTGGAGGATGAGCAGCAGCCTCACACTGCCCACCCGCCGGCCTCTCTCTGACTGCTCCCCAATCCCAGAGGCTCGCATCGCATACGCCCGAGGCTTGGCCGAAGCCCCAGGAGCGAGGGCAGATGAGACGCGGCAGGTTGTTCCTGGAACGCGGCATCTTGTCTCAGGCTTCGCCTGCGTCCCGGTGGGCGGGCTCTGCACCCCCCAGACTGAGAGCTCCGGGGAAGTTCTCCAGGGAGCGCTCTCTTTCCCCTCCCCTTCCCCTCTTACAGGTGTGCCAGGGGGAGGTGAGGAGGGAGGAGCTGCCTCCAGCCTATGCCCTGGAGCTGCTGACCATCTTCGCCTGGGAGCAGGGCTGTGGGAAGGAGGCCTTCAGCCTGGCCCAAGGCCTCCGCACCGTCCTGGGCCTGATCTGTCAGTATCAGCACCTGTGTGTTTTCTGGGCCCTCAACTACGGCTTCGAGGACCCTGCGGTCAGGTGGTTCTTGCGGTACCAGCTCGAGAGACCCAGGTACCTCCCATCACCCCCCTGTCCCCACTCTCCTGGGCTTGGGCCGCAGGAGATAATTAACAATGATCAATGATCCAACAGGTCTCCTCTCCCGGAGGCCTGCGTGGGGGCCAAAGCCACACGCTGTGCGCTTACTAATTCAGTGGATTCAGCCCCAGAGGGAAATGACAGTCACTAGGGGGCACTTTTTTTAATTTTTTTTTTTTAACATTTTATTTATTTTTGAGACAGAGAGAGACAGAGCATGAACAGGGGAGGGTCAGCGAGAGGGAGACACAGAATCGGAAACAGGCTCCAGGCTCTGAGCTGTCAGCACAGAGCCCGACACGGGGCTCGAACTCACGGACCGTGAGATCATGGCCTGAGCCGAAGTCGGCCGCTTAACGGACTGAGCCACCCAGGCGCCCCACTAGGGGGCATTTTTAAAAAGATTTTTCTGGGGCGCCTGGGTGGCGCAGTCGGTTGAGCGTCCGACTTCAGCCAGGTCACGATCTCGCGGTCTGTGAGTTCGA